CTGCACTCTCCAAGTCTCTTCAGTTAGCAATCAGATACTACACACAGTCCGTCTAACAGACAGCAATGCTCAGGCTCTGCTTTCAGAGGCAGGCTTTTTGCTCGGTGGGGATGAATGGGAAAGCTGTAAATACAAACAGGCTGATAAGTGGCAGCAGCCTCTTGGAACAGAAGTGCAGCATTCCTATTCACCCTTCTGCACTCAGTCACAGTCCCCTTGCTGGTTTACTTTCTGCTTTCAGAGAGAAGCTGAACTTTGCTGGCTACCCTGCCTGAGACTGCCCCTGGGAGGAGAAGGAGGGTGGGGAGGGAGAAGTGCATCCACCAAGCTTGCTTACTAAGTAAGCTGAGATAGTAACCACGCTGGCCAAGCCAAAATTTCTCCTTACGCAATTACTTTTTAGTGATGCATGCAGATGTGTGCTCTAGCCAATGCGAGTTATCTTTCGAAAGTGTGGAGAAGAAAAGAAGTTCTTGTTTGAAATAGTTAGAAAGGAGAACAGTATGCACCAGGAGGTCAGCATGTAAGGAAGCTGAGTGAGGCAAAATCTTGAGAGACAAGGTAGAACTGCCTTTGTTAAAACATAGGGAAGTCAGCTCAGCACAGATCCTGACAGCTATTGAAGTCAACAGGAAGATTCACTTTAAGTTCAACAGGTTTCATTAGTCCCTGTAGAAGGTGGAAACAAGTGCTGAAGGTGATAATTAAGGTGCATCACAAGACTCTTTTATTTAGAAAACAAAACACCTAATCACTCCTCCTCCCACTTCTCCCCAGCCTGCAGAACACATACCAAATATAATCATCTCATAATCATCAACAAAAAGATTATCAGCAACACATCATGCCCTCATTTTTAGACTGAAGAAGATGTCAAATAGCTCAACCACTGGGTATCCTTTGTTGTCATGTTACTTCAAATGTCATCCTCTGATTCATGGTAAAAAAGCTTTCTCTTCACAGGTGAAAACATGAGGAACAAGTAGCCTATGCAGGCTTCCAAGCGTCTTGTAGTTTATCTACACCAGCATTTGACAGGGGAACTGACCAGTTACAGGAGGTATCCACTAAATGTGATACAGGAGGACCTCTGGATCACTAGGATCAGTCTGCTGCTATTGCAGAGAACCACAAAAAGAAGCCAGTGTCTTGCAAGTTAGTAACTTCTGCTTTAGTTTTTTCCACAGTCACTATTACAAACAGAGCTGCACAGGGGGAGCTGGGATAGAAGGGTTCCTAAAACTGTTAGTCCACACACAGTTTAAATGGTACTGTCCTTCACCCTTTTCTCTCCTGTAATAAAGCTTGCAGGCCTGTCTCCCAAATGCATTCCCTGAATGACTGAAGTCCTTTCTCATCATTCATATTATGATCTGAGGTTTCCTCCCTTTAACCTGACAGTAAAGATAAAAGGCTGTTTCAGAAAGAAGCGGCAAAACTAAAACTTGGACAGAACGTCTGGGGGAATTAATCTTCCTTCTGAAATCAAAGTGGTGTGAACACACGCATATACACCACACCATTTGACTGAACAACAGCTCATGGGAAATGCAGTTCTGGAATGGACTAAACAATCAATTGGGGAGAATGGGTGAGGGTTGTGCAAATAGGCACAAATAGGAGCAATGTGGTTGAATTTCAGTAATCAAAAATTTAGGCTTATCATTGGGAAAACTGACTTGAGATTTAAGTTCAACACAAGCAAAAGGGTGAAGTCCATCACCTGATACAGATATTTGAAAATAACTCAGTTGCATGTTTTTCATTACTGCACTGAAAGATACAAGGAAGACAGATTTACTTCTGCCTTTAAGATACACTGATAAAAAGTGGCAGGTTTTGTTTATCTCAGGAACACTGACACACTGGAAATGTAAGAACAATAACATCAGCTGCACTTTAACGATAACACCCTCCAAATACTGAACAGCTTTATGAACATCACAAAATAAATGATAAAGAGACCTGTAGCTCTAATCCTGGGCCTGGGGCAAGTTCAATTTCACTTTGCTATCCTAGGGAAGAAACTTTTCACCTGGTCTTTAAAAGCCAGCATTCCTCCATCTGAAATGAAACAAAAAGTGACTAACTACCCTGCAACCGTAAAAATCCCTTCACACAGTCTTCTTGGGACCTAGAATCTATAGTGTTGTCTCTAGCATAGTGAAAACATTCTAAGTTTCCTAACCCATTGGAAGGTTTCCTAACCTATTGGCTAAGACCAATAACATCCTCTTCAGGACATGCAAGAGCAGTTCAGGTGTAAGGTCTTCACTGATGCCAGTTCAGAGTGAGTCTTGCCCCAGACTGCTGGTTACTGAGCAGCCACACATCCGAAAAGGGAGGTGTGGTACCGATCCACTTAATCCTGATGGACTGTTAGGAACCAGGCAAGGGTTCAGTATGTTTTGAAGGAATAAATAAGAAAAGCTAAACCATTATGTTGAATTTGTTTCACAGCAGATTTCTGATGTTGAAAGTCGTAACTAGTTATAATAGTCTAAACATGCACAGGCTTTCAGCATGTAAAAAAAACAAAGCAGCATTCCCAGAAATTGTCATAATAAAGTGTGCTGCAAAGACTTCTCCAGGGCAAACCTTTGCACTAGCCTGAATCTCCCTGACTTCAAGTCCAGTCCTGTGGCATTTATTTATGTGGACAATTCCATTTCCAGTAGTCATGACTGCACAGATAAAATATTCATGACAGAGCACGCCTCAACTCAAACAAGTCCCTTCAAGGAATAATAAGGATAGAAAAATACTAATACACATATTTGAAATACTTCTGGCTCCATAAAATCATGCTGTAAGTTGAGTGGAAGTTGGTGCAGAACTCAGTGAAGAGCCCTATTTTCTACTTATTTAAGGACAGTGACAAATATGGGACCCAGGCACATCCTTTTCTTATGATTATACATTTTTAATGCTTAATCTGTCTGACTCTTTGATGGATTTCTTACAAAGCCGTATCTTTAAAGTCGTATCTTTAATGACATCTTTCTTTTCACATTAGCTCTTTAGCCTGTGAGAGTAAAGGATGATTGTTCTCTGTTTCTTACTTTCAATACATGTCAGTAGTTACTAAATACTGGTTAATACTCGTTAAATTCCATAGTCCATGTTATCCAGGAAATCATGCTAGGCAAGCATTCATACAGGTTTTATTTTTTACCTCTTTATATTTGGAACAAAACCCCCAAATAAACTAGTTACCTCCTGTGATTATGTAGGTGTGATGGTTCTTTCAAAATCAAGCTCTTTGTATCAGAAGTTTTAAAATCAAGCTTTGATATGGGACATTTTTGTTTGGTTTTTTGTTTGTTTTTTTTTTTACATGTTCAGTTTTCTCAGAATAAATTCTTTCATTTTCCCATCTACTTTTTTTCCTCTTTAATCCTATATCCTGCTTAAAATTGCCTACCCTTTATTCATTACAAAGCATATAACTATATTTAGTTTAAATGATTTATAGAATCTTCTAACTAGCAACATTTTCCTGATTAAAAACCCAATATACTCCATGAAAGCAGGGTTTATTCTCACCTCAACTCACTGCCCATATAATCTCTCCCACGAAAAAAGAACAAAAATTGCCTACATTAAGAGAGATTTTAGAAAAATGCTATGTATGTATTTATTCAGTTATCGGGAACATACTTCCCTAAAAGGCTTAGCTGAGTCCAGATCTTTCCCACAGATTGTTGCCACATATACAGAGCGGAAAGTAACAGATAGCTCTCCTATGGATTATAATCTGAAAAGTGCCTAATTGTGGCTGGGAGATCTGTCAAACGTAGGTTATTCCCCTGCCAGAGGTCAATGCTAACCAAGAGGCACCAGCCCTTATCATCTTGTCTGTTTTCCAGGCTGAAATGCTTCACATCTTAAGAATGCATTCCCTTTACTGGAACGATGGGTGTGCTCTGTGCTCTGACCTGGGAGCTCGCCCTCTGCTTTAGGCACAGACACCTTTCATTACTTTTTTTCCATTCCAGAGTGGATCTCTTCTCCTCCTTTCTACCCTCAACATGGAGTAAGTAACTTGATCACTGCAGTGGGGCTTCATGGCAGTACGCCTCGGAAACCATGCACCTTTGTGGAGCACGCTGGAAGCAATTGTCTAGGAATACACCATGGTTTAGAAAAGTATTAATTTTCATGATTTGTAGGACTCACCAAAGGAATTAGCAACAAGAAAATCATCAGTAAAATGTCAAAACTTCTCCTAAAATCAGGAAGGCAACTCCCAGCAAGAGGATAATTAAACACAGACTCTTCCTGCTTTATTATGGCACCAGTCTTGTAATGGGAAGTCTGAGATCTAGTCTCAAGGCTGCCAAAGGCTTCCCTTGATTCTCAGCTCTCCTGTCTGCAGCTGCAGGGCCAGGACATTTATATCATGTTTGCCTCAAACAGAGATTGGAGCACCAAGTTAAAAAATATCTGTAGATCTCTTAGAAAGCAGTGGTGAGAAGAAGGTCTAAGTGCAGTGCATCATCTGCTCACTGAGAACCTCTCCAGCACCAGATAGCTTTGAAACTGTCCAGAAGAATCAGACAGGTTTCTTCTGAGGAGCACCCTAGAAAAAGCCTAGGTCCCAAGGGAGAAAGCTGTTTTTTCACCATTGTCAACCCTTTCAGAGAGGAAAGGTCTCCTGGATTCAAGGCCATCATTTTGATGGACCCTGCTCTATAAAATTCTTCGTGGTTTGGGAGCTGGATATTACAAGAGACCCCCTCTTCACTGGAATCAGTCCACGTCAGAAAGAAATGCTACAGTGGTGTTAAATCCACGCTTTCTGAAAATACAAACATCAAACTGATGTGCACAGAAATGTGGCTGGAGGGGATGGACAGATGGTCAAACAGACAGCGACCAAAATTAAGTAAATTTAGCCTTCCCCCCCCCCCATTTCTTTACTCTCTATATTCATCAACCTGAGAACAAACTATTCTTTATCTAAAATAACCTTCTTCACAAGCAAACCAAAACCCATGTATGTTACAGAACACAATTTTAATACCCACTTCTGAAACTCCTCTGCCTCCTTTATTCCTAAACACTGTAAACATATCCTGGTATATTTATATGCACTGATAGCAACCTGACACCAGTACTTGAAAGTAAACCAAATAGGAATTGCAGAGTGTGTGTGTGCACAACAGACATACCACTCTATAGTAGGGGCTGAAGAGATGACACTGGGGGGTACTATCCATTATATTTGTTTGGGTTTAACCCATATTGTTAAAGCACAAGGTGCAGAGGGTTATGCAAAGCTTACCTTAGGTTCTTGTTTTAAAATAAACACAATAGTAATTATCACTGAAGTGACCAGATGCAGTCCCACCTTAGTTTCTAAATGAAATGGCCACCACTCTTTTCTAGAGGTAAACAGACATCTAACTATCCCGATTTTGAGCACACCCTGTCAGACCCCAAAAGCATCACCTACCTAATGGTATCTGTTAATGTATGGGCCCCCCACCCTTTACCATCCTTCTCTCACAACACAAGTTTGTGTTTTGTCGAAATCTGTGGCTAAATTCCCACAGATGTGCCAATGGATAGCAGCACTAGGCATCCCCTGGGCCTTTGGAAAGCTGAGGGCATTAGGATATCGCCCTGAAGGCAACTGATAATTACAATAGCTACAGGAGAAATGTGCATATATGCATAAAGAAAGAGGCAAGAGAAAGTAAAAATGTCAAAGGCTTTTTAATTTGTATTCAGCAAACTGGTGTATCTCTGTCTCCCATTATTGCTTTAATTCTCTTGTGTGACAAAACATTTCAGGCTTACTGCTGCATTTTCCCTTACTCAAAATTTTTAATACACGGGTTTATACAGTTCTTTATGGTTTTCAGTTTAGGCACCTACATAAAGTGAATTAAGACAGAATGTAATAGTTTCTTTGATGCAGAATTGTACAACAGTAAGCACCAAGCATTACAGTAAAATGAAAACAGTTGCACCATTTGCGGGGAAAGTTTACAGTTGCTTTCAGTAGGCATCTAAAACAGAGACTGCAGGAGACAGCACACAGGAAACTAGGTAAAGGCACAAAGTTTATTTTGCTTACAAACCCAAACACCCAGTGATTTCTAGGCATATACCAAAAGAGATAGAAGCAGAATGGGCAACAATGGGAGGTTTTGCAGATTTTAAACCAGCATGAGTCAAATACTTGAAAATTGGCATTTTAGCTGCCGGAAAGTTGCAATAGGTCCTAGGAAATTTGCTCATCCATGAGCTCAGCAGCAAAACCAAGCTCCTGGTGCACAGAAAGGTCTGAGGAGATGAAAGCTCCCAGCCCTCAGTTCAGAGGAAATGCTACTGTGATAAACTATTAATTATGTATGAATACAGCATTGATGGTAGTGCATGCATTTTGAAACAAAGCAGTTCCCCAAAGGAAATGTTATTAAATTGTTTTTATAGCCCTCAGACATCTCCTTGGCACCTAAAAAGGAATATATAATCCAGGGGGCTGCTTCTCTGAGTAAAATTTCTTCCTGACCCCTCAAGAGGGATCCTGCTAAGGGCCGTACACCTCCTGCTGCTGAACAGCCAAGGAGCATTTCTAGTCGCACCAGAGGCTCTGGCCAGGCTGGAAAAGACCAAATGTGCAGGATCTTATATTTTCCAATAGCAACAAATGAGCCTACCACAACTTTAGCAGGACATCCCCAAACAAAAAACAGAAGCCGTCTACAGGGCAACTGCAATACAGGGATTGGCTTGTAACAGAGAAACCCATGATAAAAAGGTATGAGTTTTCACTAAATTATTCAATATAGGAGTAAGCAAATCACACTTTATTGGCATGTCACTGTTCAATTAACGTTTACACACAGCTGCATTTAATAGATTTGTCTTGTTTATATAAATGTTAACATAAAACAGATTAATACATTGTCTAAATTAAGAGGGCTAAACCACTCCAATTTGAAGTATTTGGTAAATCGCTGGTGCAGCAATACATGCAGTTATTAAATGCCCAGAAGTCAGACCAAAAGTCAGATTAAAAATGTACTGATAGAAAGATGGCCTGTGAATTTCAAATTCTGTTAGTTAATATTAATGGTTTCAACGACTAAATAAATAACGCCAGAAGTTTTATACCATTTTAACCTGTCTCTAACTCAGAGAGCATTTACATTTGTATCTAACCTCCTTTTAATGCTGAACCACCTAAACAGTCATTTCAGCAGCATGTATATGCCTAAAAACACAGCAGTGACTTCTAGGAGGGTGTTACATCCTTCTCAGAATCAGTCAGTGGTAAAAACATTAACAAAACCTTAATTTCCACTGTGAAATAAGGCAAGTTAAGTTGTGTCCACAGTGAAACTGTTTTTGTGAAAATATGAACTGACCTAAACCTGCTGTGTATTCACAATCAACAAAACCTCACTGGATACTCAGAAAAAAATGAGGCTTACATCCCCCTTTCTCTATTACTTCTCACCAACCTTTCAATCGTCAGTGGAATCTTGACGTTTTGGGTGCAAAAGTACCATACTATTGACTAGACAGAGGAGGGCAGTATTGGAAAGTTCCCAAGCACAGGAGTCTTAATAGCATAGCCAACTCAATTTTATATATGCAGAAGTATTTGTGGACTAAACACAAATACTTCAAGGAGGTTTTAGGGAAAGCTGCTCATGCTGGTAGCCACACACCAAGTTATCTCCAGGTATAGACACAGGCTATAGACACATTATACATGAAGATCAAGTGCTCCAGTAGAACCCTAATAAAGGCAGGAATAAACAAGTACAGGAAGAGTACTTCCAGAAGAGCGTTTCCCCAGTATGGAAAATAACAGGCTTCAAGCACTAATTTACCTCACATAACTCACTCATCAGTGGCAGCTCCTCCATCACAATGATCCTAGCTGAATTCAGGCAACCTTGAACTGAAGCTTCCATTTCTCCTACCATTTTATCAAGCCAGTCTCCTTTCTCAGGCAGAAACTGTGGAAACAGAAACTGTCACTTTTATGAGTGCATCTGTGCTCAGCAAAGAATAATGAAAACTACATGCTAGTAAACTGCATCACTTTCCAAATGTTGTTGTTCTTGTCCAAAACATTTGGTTGTCAAGGTACAGAACTGCTTTAAAATGCCAAATTATTCTTCTGCTTGATTCATTGTTGACTACAGCCTGCAACCAACAGGTCTCCCATAGACAGGCAAGAGATTCAATATAAGTTCTGCAGGAAGCACAGCATGTTGGTCAAAGAGGACAACATCACTTACAGCCCAGAAAATGCTTCCTTCCTGCACGCTAGTAGCACCAGAACTTTGTGTGCTTTATGGCCAAAAGCAGCTTGAACCTATAGCAGTAAGAACCTAAACCCATTCAGGTGGAGCTAAATATTTTTACTGAATGATCACCGCTGTCTAAAACAACGAGGGAGTTGTTTGCTGCGTAAGTCAGTCCTACAGGGTAATAAAGCCCATGGCTAATTAGAGGGTTAAAGATGGGAAACTCCTCAGGTTTCCCTAAGCATATTACAGCCTGGCTACAGATATCAGTTACTACCACATGACCCTCTTTGTCAAAGGCCACAGCCGTAGCATATATTTTGGAGGGGAAAACAAGGTTCAGACCAAAGCTATCCATCTGGCCGACAAGATCCATCTCTGCACTGAATATCTTCACTCGGGTGCTGCTGCTGTTCGATCCTTGCGCTTTCAGGTGCTCTATTACCACAATAGCGCCCGAGGTCTGGGAGACCGCAACCCCTCTCGGGCTGATGAGCTGAGACTGGATCATCTGACACTTCCTTAATTTCCCCGTCTTGAAGTTGGCCGTCAAGCGGTACAGTGCACCTGCCTCCGCGTCAGTCAGGATGACTTCACTGTCCGGGGTGGCATCCAAGCCCCAGGGCAAACAGAAACCTTCCCGGACAGCCAGGACCCCCCTTCCCTCAAAATCAAAGGCCTTCACGGAGCAGTCCCCACCATCTGTGACCACCACGTGCCCGTCTGATGTGACCGTCACATCAAGCGGGTACTTGATGTCATTGCCCGCGTCCCCCCGCTCCCCGAACTGCTGCAGGCAGGAGCCACCCGGCCCAAAGACGTGGATCCTCTTCTTGCCGTCATGTGCCACCGCCAGGCGCCCCGACCTCCGGCAGGCTGCCACCCCGGTGGGGTTCACCAGCGACCCCCAGCCTCCCAGCGACAGCCGGAGTCCGAGGCCCGCGGCGCCCGGCCTGGCCGCCCCTCGGCCGCCGCTCCTGCCCAGGGCCGAGGGGATGCTGGTGCCGGCGGGGCCCAGGACCTCCAGCAGCTGCAGCAGCGGCAGGCAGTCGGTGGTCTCAGCGGAGCTGCAGGCCCGCCGGCAGAAGGGGCACTCCAGCCGCCGGCGCTCGGGGCCGCCCAGGGCCTCCACACAGCCCCGGCAGAGAACGTGCCCGCAGGGCAGGTTGCGCGGCCGCCGCTGCCCCCCGTGGCCGTACCGCTCGAAGCAGACCCGGCACTCCAGCAGCCCTAGCTCCTCCTCGTCCTCCGCCGCCATGCCCGCCGCAGTGAGGCCGGGAGGGTGCGGGCGGGGCGCTGCGCTGCTGCGTCAGGCGGGCATCCCCTGCGGGCGGGCGTCCCCTGCTGGCGGGCTGCGGCACTGCCGGCGGGGATAGCTCGGTCCGCTGCCGCCCTCGCCGCTGGAACACCCGCCGGACCCGCAGAGACACCCCGGCAGCGGATCATCGTACCGCTGCCGGGCTATTTATCCCACTGCAGCATAGCCTAGGGGCATTTCTGTACCACCAGAAGCGCTTACTGCGTGACCTGGCAGTAGAGAACGCTGGAAAAGACCAAATGCACAGGTTGCAATTTCAGAGGATTTCTCTCGCTATTCTGGGAAGCTTTTGAAAATCAGAATCACAGAATGGTTTGGGTTGGAAGGGACCTTAAAGATCATCCAGTTTCAACCCCCTGCCATGGGCAGGGACACCTTCCACTAGACCAGGTTGCTCCAAGCCCCATCCAACCTGGCATTGAACATATCCAGTGATGGGGCAGCCACAGCTTCTCTGGGCAACCTGTGCGCCAGGGCCTCACCACCCTCACAGGGAAGAACTGCCCAATATGTAATCTGAATCTTCCCTCATTCAGTTTAAAGCCATTCCCCCTTGTCCTGTCACTACATGCCCTTGTAAATAGTCCCTCTCCAGATTTCTTGTAGGCCCCCTTAGGTACTGGAAGGCTGCTCTCATGTCTCCTCTCCAGGCTGAACAAGCCCAATTCTCTCAGTGTGTCTTCACAGGAGAGGTGTCCTCTTTCAGAAAATGCAACAAAAATATTTACACCAATGGCCAGTAGCCACTTTCCTCAATCAGGTGCGTACACACATCCTGTAAGCTGCATGGGCAGCATGTGCTTGTTCTGCATCCTGTATTTGCAATGTATTCTCAGAATAACTGCCGGGGTACATGCACAGCAGAGCCATCTTGCACATCCTGAAACGGCTCATCTGGCAGGTGGCATTGCTCTCACCAGGTTGTCGCATACCATGTGCAGGACATCATGAAGCATTTGCCCCAAGCACCTGGTCTTTCGCAGCCACCACGTACCCACAAGCGTAAGATAAACATCAGTGACTCTCCCAAAGCATCTGGAAGAAATTTCTGGATCAAGAGGAAGGAGATGCCTTAACCTGGTAGCTGCAGTACTGGCCAGCAGTGAAAATACATGAAAATAGCAGCCTTCAGCTCGCACTGGCCCACTGGCTACACCCTTTCCTCTCCCTGTTAACCCAACTTTGAAGCACCAGTAGCCACAAGCAATACTGAGAGTTGCAGTAGGCTGTAGCCTGGGGACTGCTGAGCTAAAATCATCACACACACTCTGGCTCCAGGACTGCAACAATCTAAAATGCCCCATGGCTTTTACTCACCTTCTGGCCTTGGTGAATTATAATATACTACATTGCAATTGTACCTTTCCAGCATTTTTTAAAATAAGCTGCTAACGGGAGAAGGCCAGGGCATTTTCTCCCCCTACTCTCTCCTTTATCGTCATCTGGTTTGCTTCCCTCCTTCCTTCTCCTTCCTGCTCAATGGTAGCTCTCCTTTGGCAGCTGCTGCCAAGCGTTCTTGCCCGCTCATTGCCAGCTTGTCACTTGACTTGTACTCAGGACTAACATGGACGGAGAGGAGCAACTTGCGCCAGCTTCCCACCTCTCTTGCTCAGTTGCCTGGCCTGGCGTGAGGCCAGTGTTGCAGTAAAGAGTATCTGAACAGCAGCTGCCATTGCTCCCAGGGCTGCCAACCAATGAGGCTGACCCGCAGAGTGCCAGGAAGTGCCACTGACTGGCAACAGCCAGAAAGGAACAGGGACATTTATTTTTTCCCAGTCCCGACGACATGAATTGCTATGGAAGAAAAGATGTAATTTAGAACATCTTGTTTGTGCATGGAGTTTAAGCAAAGGGAGGAACATCTCAAGACAGTGAAAGCAATTATGTAGGAGAGCTGACCTGATAAGCAAAATGGACCGGCATTTTCCTGTAAGCTGAAGCCTGCTTTAAGAGTGATCCAAAACATTTCTTGTTCTAAAAGGTGAGAGAAAAATAAAAGCAAGATGGGAGGTGAATTATTTTAAGTAATTTTAATCAAGATACAAGCTTCAGCAAATACAGCACCTCCAGAAAATAATCTAGTCCCCATTGCCTGTGTCTCTCTGAGAAGTCGTTGACGTTTTCAAGATACTTAATTTCACAGTGGCTGCCTGAAAAGGAGGAAGGAGTAACAAATTACTGACTGATCACCGAAAAATGCAAGCTGTCAGGGGAAAAAATAGTCTTATCACAGATTTCCTCATAGCCCTAATGCAGTGACATATATGCACTGGGGAATGCTTTTGTACAGGGATGCAACTGCCCATGCCAATGACTGACACAGACACCGCAAGGGTCTCAGAAAGCTGTAGACTTGAAAAAAGTGCAATAACAAAGCATATCAGGAAGAGCTTTTAAAATTAGATTCTCAACATAATTCTGAATTTCATTATTTTGATGGATTTCAGTTGTACAGTTACCGTTTTCTTCACATGGCATGTTGTTTCTCTTCTATGGCTACGAAAGTACAGCAGAAACTGTAGAACGCATATGCAAAGGCCTTGCACTAAAATCAGGTAGGTGGTGATGAGGTGCAGAGAAAGACAAAATGGTCAAATGGGACTAAGACTACAGCTACAAGATCACTGAGTGCAGTATGAATCCTGGGAGAATGGAAAGATACAAGAGGGAGGAAAGAGACAGTATCTGTCTCTTGGGTTTTCTTCCTATCTTTTGAAAAGCTGAGAATTTTCCTTGACAGCAAAATCCCTGTGGCTATATGGTATTTGATTTTCCATGACTCCACCCTTTAGATAAGAAGTGAATGACTCTCTATTACTTGTCACAGGGTAACATAGAAGCATATAAACATGCTGATATGTTTTGGAAAAAAATCCCAAGGATCAGCTGAAATACCACTTACCAAACAGGCTTTTAATTTCAGATTCAGGAACATAAAAAGGAGGGCCTGGAAAAAAAAATGAGTAAAGCCAATCAGAGAATACACAGGAAAGAGACAGACATTTACACCGCAACAGGAGAGCCACAGCCCCATCACTCGCAGCACCTGGCCTGTAATTGGGCCCCAGTGTGTACCACCATCTGCAGGAACCAGAAAACAATCATGTCCAAGAACTCGTGGCACCTTGGTGGGCTACCAGACAGCTTTAGGTGTTGCTGCTGTATCTACAGTAGCCACATTGTCAGAAGTCACAAACATGCAGCGGATACCACTGTCAATGTGATGTGTGAATCTGGCCTACAATCTCTTTATACTACAATGGCTTAATTAAAGCTAAAAGCTAAATAATGTGAGAGGGAGAGCAATGAAGTAAACTATTGTGGCTTATGATAACAAACCTTATTTTTTTTTTTCAGGCATAATTATGCTCAAGAACCCAAAAGCAGCAAGAAATCTCTTTCTTTTGAGAGGTAATAATTAACAACAACACAAATATTTTAAGATGTCTCAGACTTTGGTATGTAATAAAAGCTATAAAAAGAAAAATAAACCACCAAAACCTTGTGATTTTACAGAATTTCACCTCTTCCAAGCATATTCAGACAAGGGCAGTGGCTGGGAGAGAGACAACATGTTGGGTTGCAATATTGGATAAACAGAGGGAAGCCATTGAGTGGGACTGCTTCAAGCTCCCCAGGCTGGACAGGATGTTACTCTAACCATTCACTCTTCCAGCTTCATTGTCACAGCCACACTTCCAGGTTCCTTTCATTGTTAACATACTGTATCTGTCCTCCACTTACCCTTAGCATGCCTGAAGACTAGAAAGAAAGCACAGATGTAATGGTGTGATCAGCTGACAAAGCTATGCTGTCAAAAGACCCAGGGAAGATACTAATGTATCTACCACATCTATATACAATCTGTATTAAAGCATGCAAAATCAAAACATGAACAGTGTGAAGTTCTCACCTTTGTGTTTGTTTGGATCATATGAAACTGTAACAAGGAGATAAGAAGAATTTGGCTCCATTAGGGTGACCATCAAACTGGCATAGCTAAAAGGAGAAAGTTAAACTTTACTATTTTTTAACTGTGCAAACATTCAAGCATAGCTCTTAAAATACTCAACAAAGGAGGTAACGTATTTCTATGCAGACACAACTTGAACTCAACTGCACAGAAACTAAGCAAAGCTTAGTTTGAATTTCATGAGCACGAAACTCATGCTACGCGTGAAGCACCATATAAAGGTTACTGTTTACTTCTCATAAACAAGCATTAACCTTTTTTGTATGTTCATCTCAAAACTAACAAGACAAAACATAGTATTCATCTGCCACAGTCTAGAATACAGCACACAATACAGCACTGATCTTTTAAAATTATTGTGAATTCAAGACTGTATCTAATTAAAAAAACCTTGGTCAAACTACTTTTGGGTTGGCTATAGGCAAGAATGGAAAATTGGAATAAAGGGAAGTGAGGGCAGAAACAACAAAGGGACGAGAAGCAGATGAGGTGAAAAGGAAATAATAAAATTCAGATGAGACTGGCAGCTCTGCTTCTGCTGGGTTGGAACAAACCACATATTTTACAACCAAGAGGCAGGGCCGCTTCCTGCAGGAGCCTCACAAATCTAGAGTACAGCACTGTGTGACTGCAGCTGAAGTGTGCGGTAGAGAACTCATTTAGGTTAGTCCTTTGAATGAAAGAGGACTCATCGACAAGTGGCAGGAGGAAAATTGTCACTGCATACATTAGAGAAAAGACAATAACAAAGCAAGTTTACTAACCGTTGTCTGTCGCATGGATTCACAGCTACTAGAGCTCCTCTATCCCAAACCCCATCAAACTTGCCAATTACTGAGCTATAGGGAGATGAGGAAAAGGTTTAAAAATACTAAAAAGACACATTTATCTTTATTCAGCTACTCTGTGAAGTCAAAGGGATTTTCCAGCTAGCTGTACTGCAGATTCCCCCACTACCTTTTTGTTACGGTCCAGCATTTTCATGATCCAAAACAGTATCATCTGGAACCCAAAAAACCCTACTGGTATATGGCCCAGCTGTGATAGCAGAGGTGCTGGAACTGCTCAGCATTTCCCCATCATTAGGGGGTGCTGAGACGAGGCAGGAAAGCAGATTAAGCACACTTGGGTTACAAGTCCGGGGTTTTGGCAATCATACTGCACTAACATGCACTCAGCACATCAATAGTTCTTGGCCACCTTCTAAAACCCATGCATGACTTCAAATGCAGGTTAAGGAAGGTGCCTCTTTGCTTTACTATCACTGAACTCAGCACACCCAGTAATTTTAGACACATCAATTCCCAGCTACATGCCCAGGACAGTCAGCTTCAGGTTGGAATTTGTTTAATGTTATAAAAGCTAAGTTATACTGCTACTTGCCTCAGTCTAACACTGCTGCAGATACAATTTTTGCTCCTCGATATGCTGGCAGATAACTTCGGTGACCACCCCAAACCTGCAAATGGTCAAGACTATTGAGAAGTGCCCTTATAGATGGGTGGCAAAAGCAGTCAGGGTGACACTAGAAATAAGAGTATTTGGGGGTGTGGGGAAGGAAAAGCATTGTTTCTGCTAATTATTGACATATGAGTTTAGAAGTGAGGTAGTAATAATGTAAGCTGTGTGATTTCAAAGAAAGTCTGAAACAAATTTACTTGGTGAGAAAAATATGGTATGGAATTGTGTAATAACTTTCTGCCTCCTGGCAGGGTGTCAGAGTCCAATTGCATCACCTGTTTCTTCACTTCTGTACTGGTTTTGGCTGCGGTAGAATTACATTTCTTAATAGCAGCTTGTATGGGGCTACATTTTGGATTTGTGCTGATGTTAATGTTTATAATACATAGACATTTTAGTTATTGCTGAGCAGTGCTTACACAGCATCAACGCCTTTTCTGCTCCTCATACCACCCCAACCAATGAGCAAGCTGGGGGTGCACAGTGAGAAGCTAAGAGATGACACAGCTGGGACAGCTGAACCCAACTGTATCCCAAGGAGTATTCCATATCATATGGCATCATGCTCAGCAATAAAACTGGGTGAGAGGTTGGCAGGGAGACCTCTGCTTAGGGACTGGCTGGGCATCAGTCAGTTGGTCGTGGGCAATTGTCTTAATCTGCATCACTTGTCTTTCTTGGGTTTTATTTTACTCTTTGCTAAGGGTTTTGTTGTTTTTTTTTTTTTTGGGGGGGGGTGTCTTTTTTTTTTCCCCTTATTTTTTTAAAGCTTCTTTTTAGTCATTAAACTGTTTTTAATTTCAACCCACCTGTTTCTTTCTTACTTTTACTCTTCTGATTGTCCCTGTCATGCCACTGAGGGGGAGTGGGTAAGCAGCTGTGTGGTGCTCAGTGGCCAGCTGGGGTTAAACCACAGCTTCTCCCTGCCCCTGTTCATTTCATTGCTAAGTCTCTGGCATCTAACCTAGAAGCTGATCCTATATTTCCCACTCTACTCTGATGAGAGATGATAACACTTTTAAGTCCTGACTTCTTTTAAAGTTTGCCAAGACTAAGCATCTAATTAAAATTACCAGCCTCTTAAGTGGAAGGAGGTATTTAAAGACACAGTTAAACATGCAATGCGCACAAGAGGGACAAAGCAAAGTCTAGTGGGGCAAGTAACAAACTTGATCTTCTGAGGCTTGGAGGCTCCCCGCTCTGCAAAGCTGAGACTGCTGCACGACTTTAGGCAAGTGCCTGGAGTTTTCTGCACTCTGTTTTCCTTTCTAACTTTAATCTGGTCTAACTGGAACGGTGAAAGTGCTCCTCTTGGGTGTACCTTTCAGTGTACCACTACCCAATCCTTTAGCCCCACATTAGCTCCTGCTATGTGTTTATACGGTACCCCACATGAGAGATCACAGTCTAGGTACTACAACAACTAATAAAAATTAACATGTAAAGCAGAAATTCACATATATGCTGAAACCCCACTGTATTTAAGCAGTGAAGTTGTGAATTCCTCTCCCTGCATATGTTTAGTAGATTCAGTTAATGCAATTTTAATTTTTTTTTAAATTGCAAAGTCTTGCAGCCATAGTTGTATTAGGAGGTACAGTGGTTGTGTAATAAATAGAACTGTTTTACATGTGTCCAGAGTTCTCACAAAAAGCAGTAAATCCTGTTACTCTTTAACTAGTAGACTAACGAGTCTTTGAAATGTCTCATTCTGACAAAGGTCACAAGCACATCTGAGTTCTCCTCTAATGAATGCTAGGCTAATGGAGATCAAAAGGATTTGTTAGCAGGCTAGCCTCAGCAAGAGAGAAATAAGTTTCATTTCCATAATAACTGGGTAATTAATCAAATTGTCTGTATGTAGAAACTCAAAAAGTGCATTTTGCTAGTTAGAGGTATCTGCTGACTGCTGCAGGGAATGCAGTTCATACTTTCACCATTACTTCAACCAGTACAGAACCACGGATCCAGAATATCTGACAATTTATTTTGCGGATGACAGACTATGCACTGGGCCCAGTAAAATGCACTGAAAGCGTCATTAATTACCTACTTTTGGTTTATTTCATAGTAGTATTCCATCACATTCTGACGGAAGTTACAGGTTTCACAATGCTACTTGCTACAAAACTTAGAACTGAATTTTTCAATACTTGCAGTCAAGAAGCGTGAGCAATCCCTGGGCAACTTGTCAGCTCACAGCAAGAGGGATTTATAGGGATCTGCACAGCAAGTAGCTGCACTGCAGGGGCAAGGCAGGGAAGAAACCAGGCGGTATCTACAAAGTCACATTCATATACAGCCCATCTGTTCCAAAGCACTCACTTGCAGGACTAGTTATATATAATACTATTCAAACCAGCTGGAGTCAGCTGTACCAGAAGTCTTAGCAATGGTCTATTGTCTAACAGACTCTGGACTCTAGTAACAAATATTGGGTTTCTTCCAGTTTATGAAGATGAAGGAAAAAAATAAAACCAAATGGAGTACTAGTAAACAGGATGTTCTGGTGCCCTAAACCATTACTATTATGCCTGTATTTGTGCTAGTTTTGAAAAGCCCATCCAGACAAGAATTAAGACTTGACCTCCTTTTCCTACTGAACAGCTATGGAACAAATCTTTGTTCCCGACAGTTTTTTGTAAGAAAAGCAAACAAACACACAAAACTTCACCAAAACCTTATAATCTGCATGAAGAGGGAACTATAATGCAGGACTTCGGGCACCTTCAGCTTCCTACAAGATATGTTATGAAAATAGAAACAGCACTGCTTTCCTGCCTGGTCTCCAAGCTACGCCAGCACCCATGTAGGAATTTTAGGACAAATTTAAATGCACCCACTGCCAAGCCCACTAGGAAACTACTGAGGACAAATAAACATGCCAGATGCATTATTGTTTGTGGCACAGTATTCTATGCTAGAGGCTGGAGACAGTCTTAAGACCTCCTGTAGTCTCTGAACAAGTTGCTTATGTTCAAAATTCCCCCATCAGCTGACATCTGAGCAGAAGAAGGTCAGGTGCAAAGCCACCACAAAATCTGAGAAGCGATGCTTGAGGCCACAGAGCAAAATGGATTGAAACATTTTTCAGAAGTCAGTAGTGCAGACTGTGCAGAAGTATTCTGCATTTCCTGCTGTGTCTTTTCAGTAAGAAATAAGGACATTTTAGCAGTAAAAGTCCTTCAGAAGACATTACTAAGTCAAGCCATGTTCACCAAGACACTCGCAGAGTTACTGTTTGACAATATATTATGTAGTTACATACACTGGAGTGATGTAATGTACTTTAGGTCCAATAAGAAAAGTATGTTAAGTAGAGCATGGGATGCATGTAAACAATGGGTACAGCTTACCTATGCATATATTAATCAACAGTTTTGGGGAAAAAATGTGTTTAGTTAAAGGAAAAGCTGAGTAAGAAGATACTTCTGCATATATTCTCTACTTCTGCTAAGCTATTCTGAGTAAGGGATCATGATAGGGTTTTCCTTCATAGAATCCTCCAATAATGTTAAAGATTATTTGTATTTACTGTAAAAGCAAACACATTTTTCCATAACTTTCACAGGACAACATAGAACAAGCAGCCCATTTAAAGAGACTTAGTTGGCATCTTTATCTAATGATCAACAACGGTTGATTTTTATTGCAGACTGGCTATTCATGTTTTTCATACAAGTTAATGAGAGGACCTGTTCCAAATCTTTATGGCTGATTCAAATAAAAAAATCTGACAGTATTATGACAGTATTAATACATGTTTGATTGCAGAGAATTGTAAAATAAAACTGTGTGTTCCTACCTGGACAAATCATAAATACTGCAGCAGTACAGAGAAATGTTCCCAGAGATACTCTACAATATAAAGCAAAGGAAACAATACTTATTAGCAAACTGTCTTTAAATATGCACTTGAAAGTGTATGTTTATACCTTAAAATATGCACATATACTATTTTAGACTATACTCTTACGTGTAATAGGGAAAAACTGTGAGAAACACTTTTAGTTTTAATTTACTGAAGCACCACTCCTGAAGATGCCCTCCAGAGAGATTCTGATCTATCAAGGCATGCAACTGTCCAATTTTAAAATACATTTCCTTTACATTCAGGTGCTTCAATGTTATAAGAAAAGAAGGCTGAAGTAATACACTTAAAAGAAGGACTTCTCAGTCCAGAATTACAACTCAGGGCTTCCTTTCAGATCTCTTCAGGGCAAGTGAATGATTATCAGAGAGGCAGAGGCATAAAAGTAGAATGACTTGTTTGCTCAGTTATTGCATTGCATGATTAACCACACCACATCATTTGACAATGCATGAAACATACCTGCAACTTCTTTGCTCCTGGAATCTCTACGACTGGCTCCTCGCTATAAGGCAGACTGTGTTCTGCAAAAAACTCCTTCAGTGCTTGCTCGCTGACTTCCACACCAACAACGCAGTGCCCCATGTCTGCCAGCCTGCACATAGCAGAGAGAGGTCCTGAGGCTATGTAAGGCCCACGTGTTGGACCATCACCAAATGTGTATCTCCTATGCAGCACTTATTTGTTAGAATCACATAATGGTTTGGGTTTGAAGGGACATTAAAGATCATCTAGTTCCAATTCCCTGCTGTAGACACGACACCTTCCACTAGACCAGGTTGTTCAAAGGCCCACCCAACCTGGCTTTGAACATTTCTGGGGACGGGCAGCCACAGCTTCTCTGGGCAACCTGTGCCAGTGTCTCACCACCCTCACAGTAAAGAACTTCTTCCTAATATCTAATCAAAACCTACCCTCTTTTAGTTTTAAACCATTCCACCTTGTCCTATCACTACATGCCCTTGTAAAAAGTCCCTCTCCAGATTTCTTGTAGACAAACCCTCGTTTTAGGAAGCACTGGTATGTCTTATCCTGACTTTCCTATTTTTCATATTTTACTGAATACCTGCCCTCCATGATTTGAGCTCAAATTAGCACCTCTTGGCATACAGTTGACAAGGACTTACAGGCTTTATTTGGATTCGATTCAAAATTCAATACAGTCCATTTCAGTTCACAGAAACATGTTCTGCTGTGACCTGCAGTGGCTGAGGCACGCTGTCCACCCAGCTGCCTCTGCGGCTTGGCAGTAAGAGGCAGCAGGGTGCGGCAACCTCTTTGCTGCCGCAGCTCAGCATGGCAGCAACGTGTCAGATCCTGCAGTCAGCCTCACAGGCAGTTATCACGATAAAACCTAATTGGGACTAACTTGATTTGATTCCTTGAGGATGCAGTTCAGTCTCCTATTTTGGGGTTTGTGTCCCCCCCTTCCAAAAACCCCACTGACAGCCCCTAATTATAAATATAACCCTTCCAGAAAAGTAAAAGGAAAGTAATAAATGTAAAAAAGAGGAAGTTACATTTAGCCCAAATCATTTTAAGTTCCCAGTGTGGCAGACCACATGGTCCACTGAAAACGTGGTCTAGCACAATCGACCTCATTGTAAGTAGTTTAAGCTGGCACTGTCACCAAAAGCAACAGTGGCAAGGGCATAGCTGTCCATCACACATTCAGTGCTCCCCAAGCTGAAGTTGGGACAATCAGGAGGACTTTCATGTTAGTCCTTATCAACTGCATTCATGCTACTATACAAAACACTAGCAAATTAAACCAACCTTCCTCCTCCCTTCAGCCTTCAGTGACACTGCTTTCCTACCAGCAGAGATGCAGCACATTTCCATTGACCAGTATAAGGTTGGGAATTCCCCCTCTCCCTCCAGCCCCACATCAAATCAGATTTTTGCTCTTACAATCTGTTTGCAAGAGATTTACCATTTCATGTCTACTGCTTTACCACAAAGTGGGAAAAATATCCTCAGTTTGCTCCTGCCACTTAAAAGAACATCCAGATACTTCTGGAGGAGCCTGCAGAAGAACAGACACATTTTACTTAACACTGTATTTGTGCTGGCACATTAAAAGCCAAGGGCTACACGCCATGCAAGGGAGTACACAAACTCCATGAGGGAACACAGATTCTTAGTTCAACTTGCTTCATAACATCAGAAATAAAAACATAAAATAAAAATATTTAACTTCCATTTACTTAGAAAGAAAGTAAATTTGATTTCTGTTAGAAACAAACACATTTCTGTTTGTTGTTTTCTGTTGGTCTTCTCAAGTAAACCAACCCACCTACCTCTAAGTGGGCTACAATAGATAGCTTCATAGTTTTCGTTGGTTTTCGTAAGTTTCATTGGCTGAAACTTATATTGAAACTTATTCTCGGTTGAAACTTGAGACTATACAATCAGGTTTCCTCTCTTAGGTCCCTGTCTTCCAGTGCACAATAATCCTCCAATGCCCCCTGCATACTGTTTTAGGCCCCAGTGTCATAACTTATGAACAGGAGTGCAAAGCTGCTGCATCAGAAAATTGAAGATTTTTAGCCAGGCCATGATTTTTAGCCAAGCCTGATCTAAGAGTAAAAAAAAAAATCTCAATTTCAATCCTTTCTTTTCTCTGCCCTTTTCTGACAAATGTAGGTAATGAAAATATGTACATTTATTTTAGTTTCAAGCTGTGCCAGTGTAAAAATAATTTTCCTTTTGTAAGTGCTCCATTTTCTATTAAGAGTATCTTGGATGACTCAAGCCACTCATCCCACAGACTTTCTCTGAACAGTTTAGGCAAGAAAATGAAGTCACATACGGATGCCCTTGTTCCTTGTGAAACCCAATGTTACGCATTTCCCATTTCTGCCGCCATTCCTCCTCAGTCACCACTCTGTTCTTCTGTGCCCCCGTATCAGAGTGCTCCAGGACCCCGGCTGCATTTGCTGAGCGGTCCATGGTCCCCACGGAGTGCTAGGAGCTGTGAAAAAGAGAAAAATCACCCCCATCCAATGGATGGTCTGGAACCGGCTCTTACTTCCTTGAATCAAACACAGAATTAGGACACTTTCAGAGATTACAATTTGGCGACTGTTTAAATGCAGCTGTACTGAAAATGATGCCGCGTACTCCTGCAGCCCGTGGCTTCTGCAAGACTTTTTCCCCGGAGTGAAACCCGCAGTTAAGCGTTACGGAAGAGCCGGTGACCTCCCGTTCTGCACACATCTGGAGGCCGCCCAGAGGCTGCAGGGCCCTATTGCCCCGGGGGACAGGGTTATGGGGTTAAGGTGGGTGCGTGGAACCGGCCCAAGCAAGGGATCCCTAAGTAAGTGCGCAGACACCGACACTTCTCACTCTGCCTCGTGTGAAACCCGTGAGCAGACCGCGGGGCCGAAAACCGGCGCGGGACGATGGGGCCCTGGAAGGCCCCTGCGGCGCTCAGCACACCCTCTTTCCCCTCCGCTCCCCACCCGGGCGGCGGTCACTACCTGCGCGGCCGCGGGTCCAGGGCCCGTTGGGGGCTGCAGGGCTGGGGCGGTGCTTCCCCGCTCGCCCTCCCCCTCGCTACGCACCGCGGAGAGCGGAAGCGGCGGCAGGAGGAGGCGGGCTGAGGGTGCTCGGCACCGGGAGGAGGAGGAGGATGGCGGCGGGGATGGTAGCGGCGGTGAGTGGCTCCCTTTCCTCAGCTGTGGCGCCTGACGGGGGCCCGCCTGCCCCGCTCCTGCTAACCTCGGGCGTCGGGGCAGGTGTGAGCGCCGCCTCCGTCCTCACCTCCCCGCTTTTACCTTCCTTCCCTTTCTCTGTCTCCCTTCCTCTCTCCCTCCTTTCCTTTCCCCCTTCTTCTCCCGTTTCTCCCCCGCTGCAGCGCTAGCAGGAGGCGGCGCGGACACGCTTGAATGTGGTCTCCGGTCCCTGAATGACCCGGCCCCGAGGTGAGTGCCAGGCGGCGTCGCCGCGCCACCGCGAGCGCTTTCCTCTGCCGCCGGGTGTGCGCCTTCCGCGGGGAGCCCCCGGCCGCCTCTGGTGACATCCCCGCCGGGGACAGCCCTCCACCGGGGACTCCCCATGGGGATCCCATTCGCGGCTCTCACAGCGCTGGACCGGGGGCGGCCGGGAGGCGAGGGGAGGGGAAGGGGGCTGCCGGCTGTCAGCCCCAGGCAGTGCCGGCCCCTCGGGGGCGAGTCTCAGAGGTGCGCGTTCGCGGTCCCGCCTCCCCTTCTGTGTCAGGTTGCTCTCGTTTCCTCCCTGTGTCAGTGTGTGATTTCTTTTTACGCCCCCTCTGCCCTGCCCCTTTCCCCCCCAAGACAAACTTGCTGTCGCTGCGCAGGTAAGCCCCACAGAGCTTTGCCGTACAGGCTACGCATTACAGGCAGATGAAATGTTACAGAACACGACAGCGTATTATGCATTTCTCTGTCCCCCTCTAAAGGGCCTATTTTCTCAGCCGGTAATTTCATGTTTATAGGATGCAGACTCATGTAAGTAATGTTTGCTTGTTCTTTGAAAATTTGTGTTTTTTTAAGGGGTGTTGTTTTGGGAGGGGAAGTGGAGAGGAAATGGGGATACAGCTGGAAGTAGTGGCCTTTCTTACATTTACATGCATAAGCTGATCTCTTTTTCTCTCTTTCACCCCAACTCCCATAGTACTTGCAGCAAAAATATGTTTGTGATTCTGTTCTGCCTTTCAAAATGGGAGGCCTCTCTCAATATTAAATATGTTTACCAGACTTCTTAGTGAATGATAACTGCCACCTTTTTCTACCCCTGTATACACAGTGAAACTGATGAGAGGTCCTTTTACCTTCTCAGATAAAGGGCCTCACAGTGGCAGCATACTGTGGTCACCTGGTAGTTGCCAAAATGAGTCGCCTGGTGCCTTGCTCATCATTAAGGTAGTTTGTAGCCTCTGACTGTAAAGGCAACAGCATGTAGGAACAATGACCTAGTGTCAGAAGCCAAGGTAATACAGAGAGATACTGACTGTTGTGCCACTGATCCAGAAGGAAAGCTCCCAGGGTGGGGGTGGGAAACAGCCACCATTTCCTTGGGTGTTACGCAGTAGTGTAGGCAAATCTTATGTAAATGAAACTGGTTGGTTTTCCTTTCTCTACTCTCCAACCTCATCCCCACCCACACAGTGGTCAGTAATGGTGCAGTGACATTTTTGGAGGGTTTTTTAGGCACTAAAGATTGCCTTAATGTTTTTTTTGCTCCTCCCTCTAATTGGTTATAACTGAGGAGGGGAGCAGGGGGAGGAGGGCTACAAAAAAGAAAGTTATTTTCTGCATTGGGCTGTCCGAACTAATTTTTCACTTACATGCAGATCATCATGTGATTTCCCTTTCCCTCCCAAATCAATTTCTCACTGCTTGAGAGGAGAATGAAGCACCAATTTACTTGATTTGCATCAGCTTGATTTGAAACTTTGTAAAAATGCCCGTTCTCCCCTTCTGTTACCTTTACTTTTAGCAGAATTCCTGAATGAAGCTATTGCTACCATGTCCGTCGCTGTCAGCTTGAACAAGGAAGCTGCAGCCTGAAACAGAGAATTGAGAAGTCTCAAATGTAATTAATTTTTTTTTAAAATAAAAATCTCTATTACCACAAGTTAACATTCATGATGCAGCACTGTAGTATAAGGGTTTTATTTCCACTTCCTTTCTGTATGTGCTGGAGCATATTTACATTTAATTCTTCTAGGCTCTCTGTGTTTTACTCGCTGTGAAAAGAATGCCTTTGATAATACCATTTTAAATATGCTTTCGTATTTCTGGGCCGTACTTTCTCATACTTCATGCTTTGCAGCTTACATGATAAACTGTGATCTTTTTCATGTTCCCGATGATGTAGTGGAAGACAGCAGACCACTATAGAGCTCTTTTGTGGCTTAAACCTTTTATTTTATTGATTTTCATTTATTTTTAATATTCTAATCTCCTATAATTGCAATGCAACTGAAGTTTAGCCTTTAAATTCTCATGTACTTTCCTAGGAGGGTGTGCAAGTCTTGGAACTTTGTTCACTTGGTATTAAAGATCTCTTTGGTACTCTGATTGGAAAAGTGCTTTGCAGTGCAAGTCTCTTACTACCAATAAATCACTAGTTAGCATTACTCAGAGTGGTATTTCAATGTGTGCATTATGAGCTGACGTCTGTTCACTGTGCCAACCCAAATTCCAGTCCAGGTCTGCACGTAATGCCAATCGGATTATTGAAATCCAGGATATGCTGATCTGGAACAGCCTGTCAGGATGTACTCAAGGATCTAATCTTAACTCCAAATTTAGTTTAAAATACTAGTATTGTTCCTTTCCATAAAGCTTCATTCTCATTTTCTTCCTGAATTAACAGGCAATCTAAACAGGTTCTTACCTAGGTAAGAAAGTAGTATTATGACTAAAAGTAGTATTACGAGTGGCCGTGGTGCCCAGGTGATTAGACAGCTCTGCAAAATCAAGTAATTATATTTATTTATGTATTTATGCATATATTTATTTATTTATTTTAAATGACTGCCTACCATTTTTTGCAGATCTAATAATACAATGTCAACTGGAAGGGTACGAACAAAAAAAAAGGCATGTTCTGCCGACCAGTCTCCAGACAACCTTCCTCTGAGGAGTTCTGGAAGACAGGTATTGTTCATGCTCTGGTATTTTTTATTTTCTTTTGGCATTTATAAAGCAAGTGGGCTTCACCGTGGGTAGGCTGGGACTTAGAGTAGTTAACCAGAGAAAGGGAGCATTGCTAATTCTGTGAATAAGCAGGCGAAGTGCACCATTTGTGAATAATATTCAGAAAAGAAAAATGCTCAGTGTAACCTGTAAATACTGGTTAATGTGTTAAAAATACAACCAGACAAAACTGTCTGCTCATCCAGATGAGGCCTAAATCAACACAATACACAGTACCTTTGAGGCCCAGAAGAGACATTTGGTATATAGCTTTATATCTGGAGTCAAAAAAAAGCCACAAGCCTACGCTAGTATTTTATTTGAGGCACAGATAAGATTGCTACTAATTAATATCAGTAAGTATGTGAAGGAGAGATTTTCTGAAGGAGAAACAGAATGGATGATGAGGCTTGACTCATTAGCATGTGATGGATCTTAAAATATGATTTAAACTGGAAGCTTTGCTTGTAGTTTCTCCACTGGATCAGCTAGACTAAGGGAGGACATTTTTAGCTTTAAATGATATTTCCAGCCTTACTGGTTATTTTTTTTGGGGGGGTAGAAAAACTGACCTAGTTTGACAGCTGTTTCATGCGGCAGCTATTTCACAATGGATACAAACATTTTCATTAATACCACTTTAACCATTTGATGCTACCCACAAGCTGCAAAACTCTCCGAATGCCGTCTTCTAGAAGATGCATTTGTGTCAATTCTGGTCAGATTTCAACTGTTCTTTATTAGGTGAAGAAGAAAGCGGCTGAAGCAGCAGATGATGATGATGAAGCATCGGAGAAGAAATACAGAAAGTGTGAAAAAGCTGGATGCACTGCAACATGTCCTGTTTGCTTTGCAAGTGCAGCTGAAAGGTTTGTTTCTTTTTATCTGCATATTCCATAGACTTTTCTGAACTTGCAGCTGAAGTATAGGATCCCAACTATATTCTGAAAAATCCCTTTATTTCTAAATGTAGAGGGAGAATCAAAAGGTTCTCATAGGAGTCTTAAGTCTCACAGGAGTGTCACAAGTTATTCGTGTTATGGATAACTTTCTGCTATGGAAGTTGCCAATTCAGATATAGAATATCTTTAGAATATACTTATTTATGTTATTAGTGGTGTCTTCTGGAACATGCCTTGTTTCTGTGAAACTGAGAGCGTATTAGTGTAATCTGAGAAAGCTGAACTTGCTTTCAAGATGGAAAATGAAACCATCATTTACTGCAGAAAAGTCTTTATTGCTCTTGTTGGCATGCTTTGCAGTCTGAGGTGAGATTCTGACCTTGAAATTTTAGGTCTTTGGAGACAGTCACACTTACTTGAACAATTTGGTTTTGAGTTGTTCATGGCTTCTGTGTACAAGTCCGTTTGCATGCTGACCCTGGCAGGACTGAGATGCTGGCAACATGTATCTGTAATAAGCAACATGTTAGACCTCATTATGCAGTAGTTGGACGGTAATTATATAGCCTTCCTCCCTTCCTCCTTAACTGAGACAAACTTTCCCTGTTTTGTTTATTTCCCAATTATATAATTCATTTCTGTGTGGATTGTTCTTTGGTGGCAGGAGGTCGATGTATTCTGGATGCTGGCATAGGAAAACCAAGTGTTTTGGCAGTTACGTAAGAGGAAGAAAAAGAGCACCTGAGATATCGGCATTGGCGATTTTGTTTTTATTAAGGAAACGATAGTGCTTAGTCATCTTTTTGAATTGTTATCTTTATATTTTGATTTCCACCCATCCTGCTCCCCCAAGTACATACTTTCAACATTATTTATTTGAGATGAGATCATTTTGTGGCTAGCTATTTCAGTTCGTAGCTTAGGTCACTGCTTTTTACCTCGTGCTTTTTACCTCGTGCATTTATCTTGAAACATTTCATAGAGTTTAATGAGAATTTTCTAAGTGAAGACTGATGGCTTTGTCTGACAAATATAGTATTTGTTATAGAACCATAAGGTAGTTAGGGTTGGAAAGGAACTTAAGATCATCTAGTTCCAACCCCCCTGCCATAGGCAGGGACACCTCACACTAAAATGGATAATTTAATGGATATTTTAATGATAATAAAATAAATGGATAATTTAATGGATAATTTTGTTAATGGATATTTCTATCTGAGATTAATAACGAATAAATGCCCAGAATATGTAACTGCTTCCTGAGGGTTTTCTCATTGGGTTAAAATCGCAGCCAAGTCAGTCATGTGAAAAAAATAAGCAACATCTGTTTTGTGTTCAGATTTGCCGTTATAGTTTTGTCAGTTGTTCTGGGGATGGGATGTTGTAATGATTTATGAATGAATTGATCACACGTACAAGGAAAATACTAATTTAAATGATACCTCCCACCCCTGCCCTAATACCAGAACAAAATGGAACAAAGGGACTGTAAGTTCCTGTGGAGAGGGACTTTGTTGTCTTATAAATTTGTAAAATGCTTAGTGTGTCACAGCACATACCATAAGAGCAAATGTATTTCATGTTCAGGAAACGTCTGCTTAAAGGGTATTAAGGCAGGCTCAGCTGACCATTGTTAGCGGGAGGTTGCTGGAAGGCAGTCCAGCTATAAAACTGCACATTGTGTACATTTTGCCTCCGTTGCATCTGGTGTTGCTTAGTTTGGAAAATGGAAATGTTTGAGACAATTGAAATGATCTTATTGTTGTTTGTATGACTTCAGTGCCTTGTGCGAGTCAGCTTTCATGAATGTAACATAAAGCCCTGTCTTGTCCTGAATGTTTTGTTCACATTCTAGAATGTGCTACTGTCAAAAGAAGATTTGATTTATTTTTTTTCCCCTAAATGTATCATAAATCTATTTCTATGTCTCCTGTGTTACAGATGTGCTAAAAATGGATATACATCTAGATGGTATCATCTTTCCTGTGGGGAACACTTCTGCAATGAATGTTTTGACCACTATTACCGAAGGTAGATTTGCCAATTAAGGTTGTACTTTTTCAGTACTTACTAAAATTTGGCAGTTGTTTCAACTGCTGAAACATCACATACATAAACATAACACAAAGACTTCTCCTCTGCGCTTGCTTTATTCAAGGTAAAACTTAAATATTGGTGCTAAAACTGCAGATGTTTTATGGACTAATCATCAACTTAAACACAGCAGCATGAATAAAGTGGTTACTGTAGGCAGGCTGGTTTGTGTATACAGTTCTCCTGAAGCTTTTGTCATTTTTTAGAACAATGTCAGAAAATTTGAAATAGGAGAGCAGTTTTAAGTAAATCTATTTTCCTTTATAAAGCAAATGCACTTTACAGTGTGAGTTCAGGAGACCTTGCCTCTCTGTAACATCAAATCAGTGAGCAGATTTGACTCTTGCAGTTCAGTAGCCATGAAGACTGGCCAGGCTCACAGAGTGCATGCAGCTCCAAGCTCCTTCCCATTTGAGAGGGAGTCAAGTCCAGTCCAGCTCTGCCAAGACTTTCACATGTTAATGTGCTCAGCAGTACCTGTGACTCAGTCCAGGCCTTAGATACCAGGAAGTGTGCTCATGATCAAAAAGACATACTGGTCAGGATGTAATTTACTGCTGTCCTAAGAAGCATGACTCTCCTTTTTTAATAGGAAAAATACAGGACTCTATACAGCCTTATTTCTCTGTCCTTACAGAAAAAGTTTAATTTTGGAGTAACTGCTGTTGCTTAAAGTTAACTAGATAATTGGTTTTCTGACTGCTTGCTCTTTTCTCTTTGTTTTTAGCCATAAAGATGGTTATGAGAAATACACTGCCTGGAAAAGGATTTGGACAAGTAATGGTAAAAGTGAGCCCAGTCCAAAAGCCTTCATGGCTGATCAACAGCTTCCATACTGGGTAAGATGGAGGGTGATTTATTTAATAGAATATATTTTAATGCAATGTTCTGATGTGAGTTTCTGATATTGTCTATTCAAGCAGCAGGTCAGCTGAGTTTTTTTGTAGGGGTTTTCTAGTATTATAGTGCTGCGGAAAAGCTCAATATAATTCTGATCAGCTCTTACATCATTGATCTCCATACCCCACAAAGGACAACCTTTGGTCACTTTTCAGTGAGTGGCAGCTTAGATGTGTGATGTTCAGGTAGAGTAAGACTTGACAGAGAAAAGGGAGCTATAAGAAAGTACAAGTGTTAAAGACTTCCAAACCAGATTTTTTTAATTCCCTGGTAGAGAGAGCAGAAGAAGAGAGATTGGAATGCAAATAATGTTGTTGTTGGGGATTTTGTTTTTGAAGTGGTGAACAATATGTTTTTGCAATAATGCTTGCAAAACCCACTGAAGGATGTAGTAACTGGGTGTTGAATTAATTTCGAAGTTAGGTTCTGTGGAGAAATTCCGTCTTACTGGAGATGGGCACAAGGTTTCTATATACGACCTGAGAATTACATGAGAACAAATTTAACAATTGTATTTGACGACTGTCTCGCATCTCTCTTCTTTCTAATTGGTTAGTTATGCTTCATTAATCTTATCTGTAATCAGGCAGCAACAAGTAAAAACATGTTTGTTTTCTGACTTGTAGGTGCAGTGCACAAAGTCAGACTGTGGTAAATGGCGTCAGCTGACAAAGGAAATCCAGCTGACACCACAAATAGCAAAAACCTACAGATGTGGTATGAAACTGAACAATTCCACCAAGGTAACACAGAAGAATTTGCCCATACTGAAACTAACAACAAGCTGGTATTTCTTGTTTGCAGACATTAATTTCTCTTTTGCTGCTTAATGTTTCTAATGTCAAAATGATTGATGGCCTGGAGAGCTGCATGGTAACAGGCCTAAATGCTCAATAAGCTCTAATTCATTTCTAGCAAGTCTGTCGTGAGGCTTTACGTGAAAACTCTCAGCTGTGGCATGAGATTTAAGTCCTGAAATTTGGAGGAGCCCTTATAGTGCCATAGAATCTATATAGTTAAAAATGTAACATGAAAAGACTGACCATATGAAATTTTGAAGGGTCAGCATTCAATCTTGATACTCTTAAAATAAATGAGAAACTGTCCTTTATAGTCAAGACTGGAAGAGTCTTTGGAAAATGTGAAATAATTTTTCTATGAAGTTCCTTTTTTTTTTCCCCTTCATTTTTTTGTTTCAGTGTTCCCCTTCACTTCATGGAATAGAATGTATATTTTAATGTCGGATCAATAGAAACTAACTTAACAAATGAGAAACATTTTCTGGCCTGTTTTTAATTTACGGTCTGTTGAGTTTTTTAATTATGTGTATGTTACACTATTTTTGACTAACATAATCATCTTTGTTACAGAAGACTAATAGCAACACTTTAAGTTTAAAAAAACTATGCCATAGACAAATTACTTTGTTTTACATTTAATTTTTGTTGTACAGCTTAAGAATAGCTGTGATACTGTTTGTTTTAATTTCAGGGTGAGGGCTCAGACCAGTGTTCCATGCCTGAGGACTTGGTGAGTAGTGACTGTTCTTTCTCATTTGTTCTAGAATATGAAAGCATTCTTAAAGCATGGCATATTTCTTTCTTTTTCTTGGTCCTTTGGCCAATCGTAGCAGTATTTATGCATTTTGCTCAGGAAATTGTCAGACACTATTTGCAACAGAGCCTAGGGCCTTCTACTTTCTCATCTTTTTTCTCTTCAGCCCTACCATAACTGTTAGCTTTTAGGTGATTTGTGGTGTCTTTGAGCTGTGGCCTGTGATTCAAGGTTTACTCCTAATTCTCATTTTTGATCAAGGCAAAACAGTCTTCAGTTGCCAGCTTTCAAATAGAATTCCCCATCCTAAAATTTCCCTGTCTTCCAGGTGGTTTCTATCTTTAGTCAAGCTAGTCTCCCCTTTCTAAAGACTCCAAGAGAACATCAAAACATGTTTTCTTTCTCTTCTCCCTCGTAACACAAGACTAGACTTGATGTATGTTGGTATTTCAATGGGTTTATGATCACGTAACCCTGCATTTCAGATACAGTATCATCTGATGTTCAATAAGACAATGTTGACAAGTGTACCTGAGGTACCTCTATCCCAGGAAACATGTTTAAGCTTTTTGTGGTCTCTTGTAGAAGCTTCGTGGATTGCTTCCTTAATGTATGTTTGACTTGTAAACTAAGACTGAACCATTAGCGGTTTTTAGGGTTTTAGAAGGTCTTTGAAGGGGATAGCAGAACCTAAATTAAATTGATCAGTTGGCGTAGACTTTCCTAAATTCAGATTTTTGGATGAATAAAAGCCTGTGGATATTTTATAAAGGGCTTGATAAGGCATAGATGTGTTGTCATGGCATGTCTCATCTGTTTGCTTTCCACGTGGATGTGGAGTTTGTGAAGTTTCACCTCCATTTCTGAGTAAGTGATTAATGCTGCAGGTTTTCTGTGTCAGGCTGAGGAAGGGGAAAGAGGGAGAGAAAATGTCTTTCTGACTTGCAATTCGGAGACTGGTACTTTAGTGCTTATTGGACTCAGTTTTGGAGTGTGGGGGGGAAATTGGTTAATTTTCCCAGCGTTTTCAAAGTACTGACATGTTCTCTTCTCCCCTCTTTCCTTCACTTCTCCGCTTGGCCAGAGAGTGGCTGAAGTTTCAGACCATTGGTGGTACTCCATGCTCATACTCCCTCCCTTGCTGAAAGACAGTGTGGCAGCTCCCTTTCTAGCTGCATATTATCCCGACTGCGTGGGCATGAGTCCATCCTGTACCAGCACCAATCGGTTACCTGGTGAATCCAACATTGTGAAGTTAGAGCACTTAAAGAGCGTGCCTAATTTGACTGGTAAGGGCCATCTGCAGGGCTCTGTTGCTTAAGTAGGTGTGATAAATTTTGTCTTATAACTGAGCTTATAAGACGCATAATGCTCCTGATTGGAAGTACTGGTTCTGTTCTCAGCACTGATACACACTCTCTGTGTAACTGCCTCTGTAGTTCTTTGATGCAATTTAGTCCTTTTGTAAGGTAAAGGTAATACATTTTGTATGGCTTTTCTTTAGGGAGTAAGCTGAGACTGCTTAGGCTTTTTGTTTACCACTTCTCATTTGTTTATGGGAATAGGAAATTAACATGTGGGTACTTAAAGATTGTGTTCTTAAGGAAATGAAGATTTATCAAAACAAAACACAATTCTGCTAGTTTTGGTATTGTGGATCTTTGGGGCTTTGGAGGAAAGGATTTGATTTCTTAAGGCACTTAGATTCTGTTTATTTTTTTGCTAGCGACAGGTCTGAGGCTGACAGCCTGGGAGTTCAGATCTGCAGAATAGGTCAGGTACAGAGGAAAGGTAATTCAGGATTCCAATACTCATCTCAGAGAGAGTGCTTTGAGGGAAGTTCAGCTTCTGTGTTGTCTTAGCAGGATCTGGTCTCCTTATGTGCTGAAGAAAAATCTGTTCATCTATTCAACAGATATTTATCTGCTTAACAAATGGAAAACTTCATTGCTACCAATACTGCGTGTGGAAAATGATTACTTTTAGTTACTGTCCACTCTGGGCAGTACTGGGAGTTGAAGCTGAAGGGTTTCAGAGTACTGCATGAGCCTGTACAGTGATGAACCTTAGACTCGAGTTTAGATTCTGTTCCTTGTTGGACTCATCGTGATATCTGAGGGCACATACTGTTTCTCTGACAAAACTTAAGCTCTGATAGGTCCAAGACATACCCATCAGGTAGCAGGACAATAATTAATACTGCACAGCCTAGAGGGTAGGAGAGGGAACAGCAATTTAAATGAAATCATTCTAAAGGTGGCTAGAGGCTGAAATCTTTGTTACTTATTTTTCTGTCTGAGGTCAATGGATCATCTTAAGAGGGAAAAGGATGTGGTGAAGATGTATCAGAATATGACTGGTTCATGCTGTGTCTTTATTCAGTTGCAGGCATGAACAAGTATTTCCAGCCTTTTTACCAGCCCAATGAATGTGGGAAAGCACTTTGTGTGAGGCCAGATGTTATGGAATTGGATGAGCTCTATGAGTTCCCAGAATATTCACGAGACCCCACCATGTACTTGGCTTTGAGAAACCTGATTTTGGCTCTGTGGTATACAAACTGTAAGGTAAGAGATGCTAATAGTTAATTTGTTTACAAAAAATAGCTACTTTTTTGGGGGGTGTGGACTCTCTTCTTGGATGCTTGGTGGCTTTGTTGTTTTTTTTTTACTGATTTTTAATTTTAATGCCTCAGAGCTTCTTTTGCAGTAAAATACAAAAGTTTTGAAAGTATTGAAACTCTACAGAGTGGACCCAGCTATTAACTTTTAAGCAGTATTTGTGGGTACTTTATGATTTTCTTTTTTTCATATGACTGTTGGTCAGGGATAGTCTTTTTACTTATGCTAACTCTGTGACACTGCCTTCAATGGAATTACTAGAACTTCACATATGGAAGCTTTCAGATACTGGTGTCTGTATTTATATGAAGGTTTTGGATATAGATCTATTTTTAGCTGGAAGGCCATTTTGGAATAGATTTTACTGGAAAGTCATTGTGAGCATTGCCACTAGGTAGATTAATTTTGCAATCAGGGATGCATTTCAATTCCTATAGTAATGTAGCACACCATGGAGCTTGTGAGAATGTCTGTTAGACTCATTTGCTTTTATTCCAAGTTAATCTAACTTAAGAAATTGTTACTTTACTGAGTACAGCTGGCTAGAAAGAAACTTCCACAGAACTTGCTTTTAAAATGCTCTCAGAAGCCTGGTTCATGATTAATTTTTACCACCTGGTTTACAGGTTAAATATGATGTGAATGCATGGAAAAAAAAGAGTATTAGAAAATCAACTTTCCTTGTTTCTCCTTTGCAGGAGGCTCTTACCCCTCAAAAATGTATCCATCACATCATTGTTCGGGGGCTTGTGCGTATTCGCTGTGTACATGAAATGGAGAGGATACTTTATTTTATGACAAGGAAAGGGCTAATTAATACAGGGATTTTGTCAGTCAGTCCCGACCAGTATCTTCTTCCTAAAGAATACCACAACGTAAGTTGCTGTAGTAATCCCTACATTATTAGTGCTATAAAACTACATGGGACATGTCACAAGTTTTTGGTTCTGGATTTTTTTTCTCATTTGCATAAACAACTGGAATAGGTAAAATTACATCTAAAAGCAAACACATTGCATGTTTTTCATATGGTTCTCATCTGTCTTCAATAGTTCTGGAAACTATAGGCATCGGACTGTTCACAGCAAGGTTTTTGTTTCCACTAAAATCTATGGAATTCACGGATTTGTACTTCCTATGAGCTTTTCGGGTGGATGGGAACTGTGTGAAGAAGACACAATACGCTTATGTTCTTCTCATGGCTTAACCTTACAATACACCTCTGCTTCCCTATGTGAGGAAATTCCTATTTCATGTTGTTTTGCAAGAACTATGATTAAAGGGTACATGTTTATGACTACAATTTGCTCGACAGCACATATTAATTATCAAATTAATTAATGCATTTGGGAATATCTCCTAGAAATTGTAAGTTGCTTCATGTTTGGAAAGTGCATTTGTATGTTTTTAATTTATGAAATAGTCTTTACTGTTCAACCCAATCTGTGATTGACATCATGACAAGGTAAGCATGTTTCTTGGCTGATAACTTCAGTTAGATTTTGTTACTTGGCTGATAACTTCAGCTGTTTCCGTTAAAAGAAATTGAGACATCTGCTTTTAAAGTCCTTAAAAGCTGTAACTATTTTCAAAGCTACAATTTATCTTTCCTCTATATTAAATGCACTGTCATCTTTAAAAGTTATCACTGATTACTTTAGAGGACAAGAGAGCCTAGACTTCTGAAACCTACATGTATTTTTAACTTTAGCAAGAAGAAAAATAAGCGTGCAGTGATAATTTCTATTCTAGCTCTATTTTTAGTTATATAATTTTTTTTAAATTTTTTTAGAAATCTGTCATTATTGTTGGGGCTGGTGCAGCAGGATTAGCAGCAGCCCGGCAGCTGCACAACTTTGGAATTAAGGTATGAAACTTTGGAGCGCACTACTTAAAAAATTAGACTTCCTCTGCTTTGGAGGTGTTCTTCATTAAAATGAAAGAGAAAATAACAATTACATTCTTGTTACAGACATTTATGTATAGGGAATCTTAATTTGTGTCATGGTTTAAGCTCAGCCAGTAACTGAGAACCATGCAGCTGCTCGCTCGCTCTCCCACCCCCTGCTCCCGGAGGGATGGGGAGGAGAATCGAAAGAATGTAACTCCCACGGGTTGAGATAAGAACAGTTTAGTAACTAAGGTATAACACAAACACTACTGCTGCCACCAATAATGATAAAGGAAATAACAAGGGGAGAGAATACAACCGCTCACCACCCGGTGACAGACACCCAGCCAGACCCGAGCAGTGATCTAGCCCTCTGGGTAACTGCCCCCAGTTTATATACTGGGCATGATGTGCTGTGGTATGGAATACCTCTTTGGTTAGTTTGGGTCAGGTGTCCTGTCTCTGCTTCCTCCCAGCTTTCCCTCCTCCCTGGCAGAACATGAGACTCAGAAAGTCCTTGGTCAGAGTAAACATTACTTAAGAACAACTGAAAACATCAGTGCTATCAGCACTGTTCTCGGGCTGAGAGTCAAAAACACAGCGGTGCACCAGCTACTAAGAAGGAGAAAAATGACTGCTATTGCTGAACCCAGGACAATTTGTAAAATCTAGAAGCTTATTGAGTAAATCTGCTGGTTTAAAACAGCATTTATTGGTATCTAAAATTCAGCAAAGCACACAGTGAATATTTTACAAAGGCTTGGTTTGGGAGAATAGGGGAGATAATCATGTCCAAAAAATGGGACTGTAGATGATAATGTTGTTTAAATGAGGTGAAATATTCTTTCATTTGTGCACTTTGCTGTACTTCCTTGTTGCTTACTAAAAACAAGCAAATTTTATGTATTTTGCCTTTCTCATATTTGACAGTGTGATCTCACAATATTTACATGTTGACGTAATTGTACATTCTATGGAACTCTTTACATATGAAGTGTTTGCAAAGCTGATGTTTAAGGAAATGAATAAGCATCTGACTTTTCAGATTGACATATTTATATGTCCATATATGTATATATTTATGACTCCCTGAATCCTACAGGCCCATTATCTCATTCTTTGGTTGCTAAATAGCAAATTAAGTACAGTCTTTCTGTACGCCAAGTCTTTTGGAAAGCTATCCTGCAGTAAAATACATAAAAAAGGTCTTGCCAGTTGATATTTAAAACATATGATACATTATATATATATATATACACACACACTGTTGCTTTCTACTGCTCTGAAGAGATGATCTTTCTCTAAAAATAAAAAGAGAACATAAGTAGGTGTAAACATAATTGGCCAAATATCTATCTAGTCCAGTATCCTGTGTCTGTGATAGATAGCGGATGCTGAATGAGTATGAATGGTGGAAATACATGAGAATTGGGTTTTCTTGGAATATTCCAGGATTAAATTTCTCCAAAAGGTGAATGAATTTTCTCAGATGGACACTGCACCCAGATCATTGTGCTTAACAGCCTCCAGCACTAAAACATATATATATAAATAGCCTTAAATCCAATTTTGAGATGTCCTGAATACATCTTAAGCCTATTTTTGTTAGGGTAATTTCTTAAATTAACAATTATTTTCTATGTGTATATCCTGAAGGGTAACCTTTTAAAGACAATTTAAATGCATAAATGGACAATATCCACAAATGAAAATAAAGATTATTAGCACTGCTGGATTGCTTGGGTTTTTTTATGTTTCATTTTCTCCTTTGCTCTGGAGTTGAGCAGACGTTTAATGTAATCAAATCTTACAATTTACTAAGCTGCATTGTGTCATAGGTCATTATCCTGGAAGCTAAAGACCGAATTGGTGGCCGAGTGTGGGATGACAAGACATTCAAAGGAGTCACTGTTGGAAGAGGTGCACAAATCGTCAATGGATGTGTCAACAACCCAATGGCACTAATGTGTGAGCAAGTGGGTTCCCTGCAGTGGTCATGCATTATCACTAGTGAAAAACTGTCATTAAAGCCAGGTTTGAGTGGCTGGATAAGGGTGGGAGTCCATTTTCATGGTATGATTAAAACACTGTTCTGTGTTGTAAGTAAACTCTGTGTTGCTATTGTATCTTTGATAACAGCTGGGAACAAAGAAGGGCTGTAGAATGGTACATTATGTAAAGGAAAGCTTCAGCTTCTGAACCAGAAGAAACCGCTTTTTCCCTTTTTCTGGAAAGTATTTGCTATCAGAGGCTATTGCTATGTTGTCATAATATATACTTCTGTGACGGGCTTGCCTTTGCTCAGCCTCTGTATTTCTAGTTCAATTCCACACAAGTTAAGATGATTATGTCCAACGGCTACTAATGTAAACACACTACAGTTAGATTTTTGGTTGTTTTGTTCCATGTGGGTGTTTTGGGGCAGGAAGCTGAGTATCTCCAAGTGGAACCAGAGTATGGATTTTGTTCAGAGAGGCTTGCAAATCGAGCCCATGCTGTTTTAACTGTATAGTGCTCTATAGTGTCATAAGGGGATTTTTTTTCATGAGGATGTTTGGGTTTTTTTTATCATGTTTTAGTTATGAGGTGAAGAGCAATGGCTTCTGAATATCCTGGCTGCCCATCCCTTTGTGGTCATTTCATACTGCCTTTCATTCAAAGCACAACTCTTATCTTGAGAATGGATCTGCAGTGGTGACCAGCACCCTAGAGAACTGTGAGGATACATGAAAAAGTGGAGTGCACCCTTATGTATTTGCTATTTCCTTCAGACTGTAGAACATAAAAACATCTTTATTCTGATTCAGTTCTGTTGTGTGTTTGGTACAAGTTGGACAAGTAGAGCAAGGTACTCTAGAAGGTTTAATTCCAAATTTCTTTCTTTGCTTGCTTGCTTGTTAATAAAATTGGAGGTAATCAGCAAGCAACATCCTGTCAGTTCCTGAATACAGGGAACTATTTGGGCATCAGGCAGAAGAAAATTCTGGCAAATTATTTTAATGGCTAGTTAGAGAATAAGATAAGGTAGAAATAAAGGAGACTGGTTCATCACGTTTGATGACTAGATCCAACATTTCTATACCAGCCCCTGGCCTGAGAGGAAAGTTGGAGATAAGGTTTCTGGAAATCCCTGATAAAGAAAGGATTGATGAGGGGGGTGGAAACTGAAAAATCAATGGAATGAAAAATTGTTGGTATTCCAGTTTTAAGACAATGAAAGTTTGAGTTAATCTGACTAATTATCTAAAGTTATGGGCATTTTTTAAGTGGTATCACTTAAATTTGAGGGATTTACCTTATTTTAAATAATTTTGAGCAGGCTATGCACTGTAGTTTTTCAATACTTAAAGCGCAATAAAATGTCTTTTTCTTAAGCTTGGCATTAAAATGCACAAACTAGGGGAGAAATGTGACTTGATCCAAGAAGGTGGAAGAATAACAGATCCCACCATTGATAAACGTATGGACTTTCATTTCAATGCCATCCTAGATGTCGTCTCTGAGTGGAGAAAAGATAAAACTCAACATCAAGATGTTCCTCTTGGTGGTAAGTGTGAGAGGTATTGCAAACTGAAGATGTTGGCTGTGTTCATAGACTTTTATGTTAAACATTTTTAGAAGTGTGTGGATACACATCTGACCTTAAATCCAACAGGAGGACTATTGTATACACACAGACCAAAATGTCACTTGTAACTTTTAAGGAAGTCTAATTGGTAGGCTTTTATAGTACTGTGTGACTTCTGATGTGGTATCTCGTTTTCATGAGGTAGCTTTTTCAGTGTAACTAGTGGCACTAGCAGTTAAAAGGATGTGTTCCTTGCTGAAGTAGGCCGTAGTTATCGACAACTCTTACACTTTTTGATTAATCTTTCTAAAAAATAGCCTGATTAAAGCCTTCTGCTGGCAAGAATTTTCCCATCCCCATTGGTAACGTCTCCCACCACACTTACAGCATGCAAGCACATTCAACAACAACAACGAAAACTTGCTCAGAAATGTCTGCCTTCCAGATCTTTCCAGCTGGAGTCCGTAAGACAGAATTAGCAGCTCCTATGTTCTTCAGTGAACTCTGGATTAAATTCCTCAGCTTTTTTGGTTTTGTAAAAATTCGGCAAGGATTTATTTGCAAGGATTCTCCATTATTTTATGGTGTATTTTCCTTGAAAGATCTTCTACTGTATATTGATGATAGCTAAACGATTAATTTAAATCCTGTCTCAATTGGCTAGCCCAGCTGTGCTGTCGCAATGTTTCTTATTTTCTTTGAAATAATTTTAACCTCTATTTTACCCTAAAGCTTCCCATTTACTAGGGAAACCTGCGATCAAATAACAAAGTTGTTTGTCACCAGAAAGTTCTTGTCTTTTTTTTTTTTTTTTTTCCCTATGAGAAGAAAAACATCTTGGTGCAAATAGCAATAAGCATGAAAATCTTGTGATCCAGAGAGCAGCATATTGAAATGTAGCAGGACTTCTGACGAATCATGATATATCCTTGTTTTAAACATGTTCTTTCGCAGAAAAGATACAAGAGATCTATAAAGCCTTTATTCAGGAGTCTGGTATCCAGTTCAGTGAGCTTGAAGAAAAAGTATTGCAGTTCCATCTCAGTAATTTGGAGTATGCCTGTGGCAGCAACCTCTCTCAGGTGAGTTTTGATAGCTGTGTTCTGATGTTGTTGAGCTTCATAGGAAATAGGGTTGGAGGCAACATTGAGAAATCATCTGATCTATCCCATGGTCCCAAAGGATCAGCTACCCCTAAACTTCCTGTGTCCCAAACATGTTCTTTAAAAGCATTGAGAGACAGACTACAGTGCTGCCTTAGGTAATCTGGCAGGAGTTCATGACATACTTCCAGCGAGATCCTCCTTAACGTGGAAGTTGGAAGTAGATGGTGCAGTGGAGTAGGACATCTTGCTGAGATACTGGGTGGTAGGATTCACAGGAGAGTTACTCCTCCTCAGACGCTGTCTGTGACTTCTGCTTCTCAGTTCTGTGTTTAAAAACTGAAGTATTTCTCTACCTTGCTAGGTATCTTGAGAATAAATGCATTTAACTTCTGAAGTGCTCCAACACCCTGATGGTTCAGCACTCCTAGGTATTCTGTTGACTACATGATACTTAGCTTTCCTTGCAACTTCAGTTTTAACCAAGCAGGTTCAGGAAATTGATATCAAAGTATGATGTTGTTTGCACTGCATTATTTACTCAGTCCTGTTGCTTGGGTTAAAGATGTTTTGAGTCAATTGTAGTGGGACAGCTGACTGATCTGAGAAGCACATAACATAATACAAATCTGCAAGACTGTGGGCAGTCAGTGGAAAACAGTTTGATGTGTCAAGCTTTCACACATAAACACCCAAGGAAATAAGAAAAATGTTAAAATCTATCTTCAATTTTAAACTCAAAATATGAACTAAATGCAACTGCAGTGATAGGAACTGGCATCTGAATAGCAGTTTGAGAATCGTTTCCAATCTTTTTTATTGCTTAGTGATATTTGCACTAAGCAATCACCACTTTTGTACTATGAGTTTGCGGGGGGGGGGGAGAGATCAATGAAAGATATCATGGAGGAACCTCTGAAGTGACAGAAAATTTCCACTGAGATCTTTCGGTTCTCATTTTTTCCCTTCATGTTGGGAAATAAAATATTTCCAGTTTTATTTGAAGTTTTAAGACTGTAAAATCTGATTTCTTTGCTAGAGACAGAAAACCAAAATAAATACACTGAAATACAACTGAAATTTTGTACTGCTTTCCTTGTTTTCTCTACTAAGCAGATCTATACAGTACCTGCTATTGACCAACTCACATTACAACATTTCTTAATCTAGCAATTCATATGTTGTACAGTGCCATTAGCTAAACAAGCTGTTTGGTTTTGTCAGTGTTGCCATACGTTCTGGTGATACACTTTTTGTTTTTTTCCAGTTGTGAAGGGAATTAGGGTGGCTTCTTCTAAACTGTGGGACTTTTGATAGCAGCCATGTCACTTCACTAGTAAACACAGCTAGTTATGTTCTGTCCACAGGTATCTGCACGCTCATGGGACCACAATGAATTTTTTGCACAGTTTGCTGGAGATCACACTCTTCTAACTGTGGGATATTCTACTGTGATTGATAAATTGGCAGAAGGGCTGGACATCCGGCTGAATCTCCCAGTGAGTCTGGAAAATGTTGATGTGGTGCCTGTCTGGGATTGCTTTGAAGCACACAGTCATATCTTTGTATTCTTTTGAACCCGACAAATATGTGCCTGTGATTATTTTGACTTGTCTTTAATAATAAAGAGAGGACAATTTCACCATTTCTGGAAATCCTCTTTGAGGACTATCAGTACTCAAATGTTATGATATGGTGACCTTATATGTTAGAATCACTATGAGTTTTATTTTCAGCTTCCATGGAGGCTATTTTTTTCTTTCAATATTTCTTGGAAAACCTTTGTTCTTCAATTCCTAGTTTTCAGACTGGTGCTGTAGTTGCTATTGTCTGAATTTGCATCGCATATGTATATTTTTGTAGCATAACCTTCTTCAATTTGTCTCTCGACAGGTACAGACTATTGACTATTCTGGTGAGGAAGTACAGGTGACTACTGCAGATGGAACAGTGTGGACAACACAAAAGGTACCTAATATGCTTCAGGATTGATATTAAATAATGAATATTCAATATTGACCATAGTACAGTCCTTTTTTCTTTCTTCCCCCCCCCCGAAGACTTATTTAGTCCAGTTTCTTCCCCCAAAGATGAAAACACTATAAACTTTAGTGACCCGTATTTGGATGTCCTAGAGCTTATTTTTCATTGAGCATGCATGAGTTTTGAGTACTAGTTAATTTTAAGAACTAAACACTATAAAGTTAGTAATAAAAATGTGAAGCAAATAGATTTTTATCTGGTCTTTGAAGTGACGATTATGTTTTCTGGTTCTATTCCCTGCTCACAGCTTTACCCCATTTAGCCAGTGAACCTGCCCTATTAAAATTTTTCCCTTTGGCTTGCAGGACTTGACAACTTGTATTTCTTTGTATCCCCACTGGCTTCACGCTGTGTAATTTAGCCTTTAGTGATTTTTAAAATTATACATAAATTTGATCAAGACTGGATTCACATCAGTGTTACTGAGCATATTTTAAACAGAAGGGATCTGTGAAGGAAGAAAAAAGAAAGCAAAGACCATCTTCTCTCTCTTTTCAAAAAAGGCAGTTTTGTTAATATGAGAGCCACTGATTATAATTTGTGGGAGGTATTAAAATTAGTAGCATGGTTACCCACTCTGCTACAAACAATTCAGCAGACTACAACTTAAATAGAGTGAACTGTAGGACCTGTTCTCTTCTGAATGTAAGTCATGAGTTTCTCATTAATGGGGAGTAAAACTAGACACTGGTCAAAAGATGTCTAGTGAGTATTATGCTGCATCCTACAAGGATAATCCAAGATAGTCAAGACGATGCTGCAAGGCTTAAGTGCAGTAGTTTTTGCTACTGTTGTAATTATTTCTTTCAGGTATTGGTGACTGTACCACTGGCCCTTCTTCAGAAAAACGCCATTCAGTTTAATCCTCCACTGTCAGAAAAAAAAATTAAAGCCATTAATAGTTTAGGAGCAGGAGTCATTGAGAAGGTAAGTAATTTCAGATTATATTTAATTTTCTTTTCATAGAAACACTAGCTGCTTTGTCCCTGTTGCCTTTGCTGCTTATTCCTCAGGAATTATTATGTATTTGGTTCTACTTGCATACACTAGCCTAGAAGAGCAAAATGCTATTGGGGATCCCACGTATTTCTCTTTCTTAGATTCCCAAACTTAATGGTTTTTTTTAAAGAGGTTGTTTGCAGAATCATTTCACAACTTAAACATTTTAGGTTTAATTTTCAGCAAGCCTTCATGATGGTCTTAAATCTTCCAAAATTCAAATAATATGCTTATTCTAGGTCCTTCTGACCTAATAAATACATAAACTATTTCAGAAGAATACTGAAAGTTGTGTATTTGACCAGTGTAAAATCTTCTACCCTTTCCTAGTGCAAATACAGCTTCTCCTGAAATGATCCCTAGAAAGATCACAAATGTGTGCTTAGAACAAAACAGTAACAGAAGTAATGCTGGGAACAGCACTGTAACAATGTTGAAATTTCAAGTCAAGGTTCAGAAACCACAGAACTTGGGATCTCCAAGTTCTACATTAGGTTTGTAAAAATTCTGCTGAATTTCTTGAGCATTTTCCCTAGTGAACTGCCAGTCTGTGCATTTGCAATTTGTGAGACTAGCATCTTTTTCTCTTCCCTGTCCTTCTTGGAGAACAGACCCAAATATTCTCTGTTGAGACCCTCTCATAGAACTGGGTGTCTCTAATTGAGTGAAAAAGGGCCAAAGAATTAGAAGAAGAACATAGACCATATCCAGTTTTGAATTTTGTGATATGAAACGCTTTAATTTCATCTCTCTCTAGATTGCCTTGCAGTTTCCCTACAGATTCTGGGACAGTAAAATTCAAGGAGCTGATTTTTTTGGTCATGTTCCACCCAATTCCAGCCAGCGTGGGCTCTTCAGCGTTTTCTATGACATGGATCCAGAGGTATCACGCGCTAAATGTATTTTCTGTTGGCCTTTCAGAAATTCAGTCTGGAATCTAGGTGCGATAATTACTGAACAACAAAGGTTTTTCTCCCCCCATTCCTGCAACTGTCAAAAGAAGTGGAAGCGGTGTTATTTATCAAGCAAAATCTGATTGATACTTCTTTGTAATAAATGGGAATGTTTTCTTACTTTTGGATACAAAATAATATAGCAAGTTAATACTTTTATTCTCAAAAAATTCTGTTAATACCTGACTATAGATGTACTAATATGGGACAAAGTCTACCAGTCACTTCCAGTTTAGGACTTCTGTTCCCTTATTTAAATTAGTTAAAAATATGTTAAAAAGATCATGCTGGTTTATTAACGCTTAATGACTTGCACTAGCCTGAATAGCTATGTGGAATCGCAGAAGAAAAGACCAACACTAGGCTTTGTATGAAACTGAGGTCTGTAAGATTAGTCCCAAACTCATGAATTTCAAAGCAAATTCAAACCAGTGCATTGACATAGTATTTCTTTTCCCTGCCAGTTCCATTTTTATCTTACCCTTTTATGTTTTTACAACTGCTGTTTACTACTTGGCTGCAGTTAAAAGGCCATTTGGTAAACTTATGGCTTACGCCAAAAGGAAGCCATCCTGAAGACATTACTATACTCTCTGTACCTGTACATGACTTCCCTTAAACAGAAGTTTTCTCTTCAATACTTAAGTATTGAAGTATTACATGAGGTTTAATGTGCTGGTGCTGTCCAGGGACACTAGATACAATTTTTAATTTGCCTGATAGCTATTCTCTGCTAGAAGAATTGGGCCAAAATCACCTGGTAAGAACTTAGTATTTGCCTAATCCAAAACGTATCTAACTAGTATTTAAATAGATTCTTTTTATTACCACCTTTTGAAACTGGAATCCAGTTGAGGTAGAATTTTGGCACAGAACTGGAGCTCAAGAGGTTTCTCGTAAAGAATAACACCATAAAGGTCAAATGTTTTGGTGTAGCTTTTAAATAGGTAAATAGGAAGTCTTCAGTTAATTCAGCAGGTTGTAAATGGGGCTGACTGTAACACAGATCTGTGAACAAGACATCAAAGGATGTTAGTAAATTGAGCATAAATACTGTAGAATATGCAGCCTTTATTCTAAGGAATTAAACCCACTTTCCTCTAGAACAAAAGTTGCTTGGTAGCTGAGAATCTCTCTGTCAATACCAATTAAAAGGGACTCTTTGAGAAATACTAGCCTATTAATTTCAAAATGATCTCATATGTTAATCTCTTGTTTTTAGGGGAAAGAAAGCATTTTAATGTCAGTGGTCACTGGAGATGCTGTGGCAAACATTAAGAATTTAGATGATAAACAAGTACTACAACAGTGTATGACTGTACTTCGAGAGCTGTTTAAGGAGCAGGTAAAAGAAGATTTTTATTAAGAGATGAATTAATTTGCCAACAGACATAAAGATTTTGATCTTATTACTTCATGATGTATAAAAGAACCTTTGACATTTAAAACTATTGCTATTTATGTTAGGGATAGGCCGGAGAGTATGGAACTCTGTCTGGGGGCAGGTGAGCAGTCAACAGAGAGTTTGTGGGTCAGGGTTAAAGGGAGAACAGTTATGGGGGACATTACTGTGGGGATCTGTTACAGACCGCCTGATCAAGGAGAACCTGCAGATGAAGCACTCTACAGACAGGAAAAGCCTCACGCTCACAGGCCCTTGTTCTCATGGGGCACTTCAACCACCCTGACATCTGTTGGAGAGACGGTATGGCCCAGCACAAGCAGTCCAGGAGGTTCTTCAGTTGTGTGGAAGACAACTTCCTTCTGCAAGTAATAGAGGAGCCGACAAGGAGAGGTGCCATGCTTGACCTCGTGCTCACCAGCAGGGAAGGGCTCGTTGGAAATGTGATGCTCCAGGGCAGCCTTGGATGCAGCGATCACGAGATGCTCGAATTCGAGATCCTCAGGACACTGAGAAAAGCGTGCAGCAAGCTCACTGCCCTGGACTTCAAGAGAGCAGACTTTGGCCTCTTCAGGAACCTGCTTAGTAAGGTTCCATGGGATATAGCCCTAGAGGGCAGAGGGGCTGAAGACTGTTGGTTGATACTCAAGGATCACCTGCTACAAGCTCAGGAGTGTTGCATCCCAACTAGAAGGAAGTGCAGCAGGAGGGCCAGGAGACCTCCTTGGATGGATAAGGAGCTGCTGAGGAAAATTCAAATGAAAAAAGAGGCTTATAAAAGGTGGAAGCAAGGAAAGGCAGCCTGGGAAGAATACAGGGATGTTGTCTGGGAAGCTAGGGACCAGGTTAGGAAAGCTAATGCCTAGTTAGAATTAAACTTGGCTAGGGATGTTAACAGGAAGGGATTCTATAGGTATGTAGCGAATAAAAAACAGACTAGGGACAACATAGGCCCCCTCCAGAAGGTATCAGGAGAACTGGCTACACAGGATTTGGAGAAGGCTGAGGTTCTGAATGACTTCTTTGCCTCAGTCTTCACTTGCAAAGGCTCTGACCGCACCACCCAAGTCTTGGAAGGCAGATGCAGGGACTGTGAGAATGAAGACCTTGGGCCCACTGTAGGAGAGGATCTGGTTCGAGACCATCTTAAAAACCTGAACATGCACAAGTCCATGGGACCTGATGAAATCCATCTGTGGGTCCTGAAGGAGCTGGCAAATGAAGTTGCTAAGCCGCTGGCCATCATATTTGAGAAATCATGGCAGTCAGGTGAGGTTCCTGATGACTGGAAAAAGGGAAATATAACCCCCATTTTCAAGAAGGGGAAAATGGATGACCCAGGGAATTACAGACCAGTCAGTCTCACCTCTGTGCCTAGCAAAATCTTGGAGCAGATTCTCCTGGAAGGCATGCTAAGGCACATGAAAATCAACAAGGTGCTTGGTGACAGCCAGCATGGCTTCACTAAGGGGAAATCCTGCCTGACCAATTTGGTGGCCTTCTATGATGGGGCTATGGAACTGATGGACAGGGGTAGAGCAGTTGATGTCATCTACCTGGACTTGTGCAAAGCATTTGACACTGTCCCACACGACATCCTTGTCTCTAAATTGGACAGACATCAATTTGATGGATGGACCACTTGGTGGATAAAGAACTGGCTGGATGGCTGCACACAAAGAGTTGTGGTCAATGGCTCAATGTCCAGCTGGAGACCAGTAACGAGTGGTGTCCCTCAGGGATCAGTGTTGGGACTGGTGTCGTTCAACATCTTCGTCGCTGACATGGACAGTGGGATTGAGTGCGCCCTCAGCAAGTTTGCCGATGACACCAAGCTGTGTGGTTCGATTGATACGCTGGAGGGAAGGAATGCCATCCAGAGGGACCTCGACATGCTTGTGAGGTGGGCTGATGCCAACTTCATGAGGTTTAACCATGCCAAGTGCAAGGTCCTACACCTGGGTCGTAGCAATCCCAGGCACAGCTACAGGTTGGGCAAAGAAGAGATTCAGAGCAGCCCTGCAGAGAAGGACTTGGGGGTGTTGGTCAGTGAGAAAATGAACATGAGCCAACAGTGTGCACTGGCAACCCAGAAAGCCAACCATATCCTGGGCTACATCAAAAGGAGCGTGACCAGCAGGTTGAAGGAGATGATCCTGCCCCTCTACTCTGCTCTCGTGAGACCTCACTTGGAGTATTGTGTGCAGTTCTGGTGTCCTCAACATAAAAAGGACATGGAACTGTTGGAACAAGTCCAGAGAAGGGCCACGAGGAGGATCAGGGGGCTAGAGCACCTCCTGTATGAAGACAGGCTGAGAAAGCTGGGGCTGTTCAGCCTGGAGAAGAGAAGGCTGCGTGGAGACCTCATAGCAGCCTTCCAGTATCTGAAGGGGGGCTATAGGGATGCTGGGGAGGGACTCTTCATTAGGGACTGTAGTGACAGGACAAGGGGTAATGGGCTCAAACTTAAACAGAGGAACTTTAAATTGGATATAAGGGAAGAAGTTCTTTCCTGTTAGGGTGGTGAGGCACTGGAATGGGTTGTCCAGGAAGGTTGTGAATGCTCCATCCCTGGCAGTGTTCAAGGCCAGGTTGGACTAAGCCGTGGGTGGCATGGTTTAGTGTGAGGTGTCCTTGCCCATGGCAGGGGGGTTGGAACTAGATGGTCTTAAGGTCCTTTCCAACCCTAAATATTCTACTATTCTATTCTATTTTTCCTTTCTTAACAGTTTGAGGGAATATGCTTCCTTTGAGACACACTTAAAACCACAGTATTTGGTCTTCTGTGAAAAATGTGAATTGAAATATCTTAGATCTGTCTAACGGTAATGAATTGAAAACCAGAAATGAACTATCACCCTTCAAAGCATTTTTAGAAAGGCAAATGAATTAAAATCAGTACTTTAGGCAGGTAACATAAATATGCTTCTTTCTTAGCTGTCACTTTTTTCTAAGAGATAGTTATGTGGGGGTATTTTTTTCATCACTGCTTCCAATACATCATAAAAGCTTTAAGCTAGATTAATTTGATTATTATTTCCCCACCCCCTATGTAAAAAGCAACTAAAAATACAACGCTCCCCAAAACAAATCCCTTACTTTTGTAATAAGAAACAACCCTTGCTGAGCTGTCTTGGGATGGAGGTACAGGCAGAATGATTTATTAAGGGCCTTGCATCCTGAGTGTAAAAAAACCATCAGAGAGAAATTTCTACTTCCCCCCCTCCCACTCATCATTAGGATAAAAACTAACGGGAAACTTGCGGAAATCTGGGGCAAGCAGAAGATGATCACTTAGCAATGTTACTTGAATTCCACTCTATAGACAGTAATGCCTTAGTTTAAATTACTTAGAGCAGTTGGATCCCAAGGAATGCTTGTGCTAATGTTCATGGGTGATCTCTCAAGTTTTATTTGAGATGTTAGGATTAATGATCTTGGAAAAACTTTGGTATCTGAAAGCTTGAGTTTTCCTAGAAAACATACGTTTGGTGATAGCTTTACAGTTACCAGAATCCCATGCAAGCTAAGTCCACATACCTGCTATTGTGATCTCGTGAGAACGTAGAGGCAGCAAATAGGTCTTTGGTTTTAGTGATGCTCTGGACTGGAAGAATGATTTTCATGTCCATCTCCATGCTTTATAGCAGTTGTGAATTTCAGTCATCTGTCCACAACACAGTGTGATTTTCAAAGACAAGATAGCTTCCAGGGCTGTACAAGAACTTCTTCTGGGTTGTCCATGAAACTTGCCACGCTTGGTTAGCTGTTGCCTTAATTGCTTGAGCTTTAGTCTCTCATTTGCTACCTAAATGGAGCAGTCTATTTGTTGATACCAGATGTTGTGTAGGAGGCAACCAGAGGTGCTTCTGTTTACTTGTCACAAGCTCCTCAAGTGTAAGATACAGTTGTAGCTGACTAAGCCTTCAGACAACTGTTATCCGGGCTCTTTTTGGTAGTATTACATGCAATTTTTATGCTGCAATGTGACAAAGAATACCCAGTATTACTGTCATAGTTTCACTATAGGCATTCTTGACTTTCTGGGTTGGCTTTTTCCTTTTTTTTCTAATTTCTTCCTGAACCTGGTTTTCAAGCTAACTCATTTTCTGGTCTTAGATAAGTAATGTTATTTCTCCACTGGAATAAAGTTATCTCATCTCCAAAATGAAGATTACCATTTGACATTTAACAGCTAGAAGTAGCAAAGCACCACGCCTTACCAAGATAGAAAGTGCTTACATTACATACACAAACGTGTTGAATCCTAGAATAGGTAGGGTTGGAAAGGACCTTAAGGTAATCTAGTTCCAACTCCCCTGCCACAGCTAGGGACACCTCATACTAGACCATGTTACCCAAGACTCTTTTGAACCTGGTCTTGAATGTTGCCAGGAACATTCTTTGGGCAGTTACCACTTCTTTGGGCAAAGTGTTCCAGTGCCTCATTACCCTCACAGTAAAGAGCTTCTTTCTCTTATCTATCCTGAACTTCCCCTGTTTTAGTTTAAACCTATTACCCCTTGTCCTATCGCTACAGTCCCTGATGAAGAGTCCCTCTCCAGCATCATTGTAGGCCACCTTCAGATATTGGAAGGCTGATGATGATATTGGTATTTTACCTGTTTGCAAGAGTATTTATCTATTTTGAGTTCCCCCCCCGTAGTATCCAGATTTGTTGCATTCAAAACAGTGCAGCTGTAATGTTTTGGGCATCAGGCACATCTAGCAAATAGAATTATCTTTGTGGTTAGTACTGTAATAAAGAAAATTGGAATTTAATTCTGAAATATAATCTAATCTGTATAGTAATCATGCTACATACTCTAAAGATGATAAGGAACTGTTTATAAGAAGAAGCAAAGTAATTCTGGGCTTTTCTTTGCAGTGAATAAATTCCATTTTGGTTTTGCAGGAGGTTCCTGACCCAGTGAAGTTTTTTGTTACTCAGTGGAGCAAAGACCCTTGGCTCCAGATGGCATATAGCTTTGTGAAAACAGGGGGCAGCGGTGAAGCTTACGACATTATAGCTGAAGACATACAAGGAAAAATATTTTTTGCTGGCGAGGTAAGTATCTCTGTTAGTGTTGATTAAAGTCATCGGCGAACTATTTCTTGTGAAAGATCATCTTTTGCTAACCAACACCATTAATCTAGAGGTAGCACATAAATATCCTGTTACACAAATATGCTAACTCTTCATCAGAAAGTAGTGATACTACTACTCATCAGAGTAGTGATAGGACAAGGGGTGATGGATTTAAACTTAAACAGGGGATGATCAGAAGAGATAAAAGGAAGAAGTTCTTTACTGTGAGGGTGGTGAGGCATTGGAACAAGTTGCCCAAAGAAGTGGTAAATGTTCCATCCCTGGCAGTATTCACGGCTAGCTTGGACAGAACGTTGGGTGCCATGGTCTAGTGTGAGGCATTCCTGCCTGTGGCAGGGGGCTTGGAACTAAATGATCTTAAGGTCCTTTCCAAACCAAGCCATTCTGTGGTTCTACAATTCTAACGTTTTTTGATTTTGGACTCAATCCTTTTTATTAACATTATTTGGCATGGAAAGTCTGTCAACTATTTCAGGCCAGGAGTGAACCATGTAAACTGTAAGCGCAGAACATGACAAGACTATACGATCCACCTGTTTCTTCAGTCAAATTGTCTATTACTCCATTTGTGGGTAACATAACAAATGCATACTGCTGATGGTGTAGGTGAGTTCTACACTGGATCAGAACTTACCTGCCCCACTAATGTGCAAATGCCAAAACAAGACTACTGCTTTTGCTAGTTGACTTGCTTGCAAATTTTGAAGTAGCTAAAATCTTAAATATTTACTCCAAAATCCTAAGAAGTTTTCCATGGCTTTTAAAAATGTTTGTGTATGATTAAGGAAAACAAAATTGATATTATAAACTGAAATTCTATCTTCTAATAGTTTTAGAGAAAACTAACTTTGTTTGTTTAAATACAGGCCACAAATAGGCACTTTCCTCAGACCGTCACAGGAGCTTACCTGAGTGGAGTTCGAGAAGCGAGCAAAATAGCAGCATTTTAAGTACTGAAATTTTGTGTTTATAGATATATTTTTACTTGTTTTCTGTGGGTAGAACTATCTTCAAGTTTCCTATTGCTGCCTTTTCCCTAAGTGGTACTTAAATAGTGTATGGTACCTGAAGATAAAATCTTCATCTTCCTTTTCCTCTTTCTCCCTAGCCCTCTCACTTCCCCTCCTTCTAAGCCCTGATATTAATAGGGATTCTAAGGTATTACTGGCAAGAGTGACACTGGAATCCCTAGCCACAACTTAACTAATGGAACTTTTATTAAGCGTCCTCTTCTGTACAGCTTGAGTCATGCTATTATGAACCTTCATTTCAGAAGGTCAGATTAAAACCAAGTTAATATACAACATTAAAAATGCTAGCAGTTAGTAGTCATAAGACTTTTCTGCTAACTGTGCTTCTCAGGTTGATTATGCTCATAGGGGTTCCAGTTTCCTCCCCAAAGCCTGAAGAACCTAGACAAATTCTAGAATTATTGTAGGAAGGAACTCAACTTTTTCCACTTGGAATCAATAACCTTTTCTATAATATTTTTCATATTCTTAGCCTCCAAAAAGTGGGCTTTGGAGTATCAAGTTTGTTCCTTTAAATCAGATGGCTGGAACAGTTTACAGTGCAATCATACAAAGGTTATTGTAGCTAATAGAACTCGAAAAATTAACATTTACTTTACAGAAATTTAAAGTATTCTTTCTGCTACTTATTCAGATAAATTCTTATTACAGTAATAGGCTAAGTGCTTCTGATCATGTAGGAATAGGACAGCTTAAAAACACTCTTAGCTCTTAAGAGTATTTTGAAAACAAACTTCCAAATGAAATTTGGGCTGAGTAGAGAAACTACTGATATGAGTGCACAGTTGGGTATGAAGGACTCTAAGTTCCTAAAGGCTCATTCAGCTTTTATATTTAAAAAATAAGTGAAGATGAATGAGGAAAAACATTAAGACTTTTATGAAGGGCTGAAACAAGGTGGCTTGCACTTTAACTTGAAGTTGTTTTTTTTCTTCTTCTTCTTTTTACTTTTATAATTAAAGTATTATTAAAAGTGTCTTGAGGGTGTAATTCAGGAAGGCCTAAGCATCTAATAGCTTTTCAATGGGACAGGGAAGGAAACGAAGTATTTTTCAATACAAAGAAGACAGACATAATGAGGATCTCTGTTGTAATACTGTTCCACTAAAACAGTATTAATGAAAAGAAAAATGTAACCCAACTTTTAGATCTCTTCCCCCACACCTTCCCTCTAACTACTGCACAAATCTCCTGACTTCTGAAAGGAAAGTGAGCATTTGTTCTCTTCCCCCTCATCTGTTTCTTCCATGCACAGGTTCTTTTTCTTTAATCTCTTCGTTTAAGAGTAACAGCAAGCTTTTGAGTTACAGTGCTTATTTTTATAAAGCTGTGTCCTTGGGGAAAAAAAACCAAACCAAACCCAACAATCAACCTTAAGAAAAATCCTACTGAATAAATGCAATTCTTCTTTTTATTTACCTAATATCTTGTTGTTAGAATAGCTATGATATTGTTAAACACCTTTAATTAATCTCTAATTTACAAGATGAAGATGTTTATATAACTAGATGTTTTTCAGATATATATTTTGTTCTGCTTCTTAAAGCTGAATTATATGAATTAATAGGAAAAGCGTAACTGTTCATAATTTTTCTCTATATAAATGCTAGCATGTACAGTTTAAAAGTATTTCCAAGTGTTGAATTGTAATTTAAAGGTTATAAGAAGCAAGACAAAATGATGAGAAAAGGTAATCAGGCATCAGATTTTGCTTTGGGTAATCATTTGCACTTTGTTAATTTAATAAATTACAAGCCAATTCACACCCTAAGTAGGAAAGATTGAGAGCTGCCTAGTTTGACTTCCACGTTTCATTTCTAGTTTATCATATATGACAAAATTACTGGGAGAGGAGCTTCTGAAGTAGGACCCCCCCCCCCCCAATTTCTACAAGCCCAAATAGCTGCTTCAGCTGATCAAAATTTCAGTCACCTTAGTAACAGTATATAAACACATTGCATTTTAGACAGGAAATGCCTGGAAAGTTGAGCTCAGCATCCCTTTCTGCAGTCCAGTTTGTGTGAACATGCTTGATTTTAGGCATATGCTTCCATACTGTTAATTTGTACTTGGAGTTTCAAATCTATAACTTTTCAGGTAGATAAATGCTATATTCTGGAGAATAAAGATGGACGTGAACAAAATATGGTCACATTTGGCTTCAGCTGCTGCACACTTCTTTTAGCATTAAAAAAAGGATAACTAATGATGAATTTACAAATGGCCTAGTATATTAATTATTTGTATATTATTTCGGTGCCAAGGCACTTAAACTATATTGTGCTGCACTTCAGTTTGAGGAGTAAATAAGTATGTTCCATTATAATTTACATTCGTTTGAAATGTATAAGAACATCAGGCTGGTTCTGAGACTTCATTCCTTAATTAATGTTCCCCCCAAATTTTTTTTGATACCTATGTTAAAATTTATTTCAAGCATGTGTATGTTTTGTGTTTAATTTATTCCCTGCAAATAAAGGACTGGCGAATGTTTTCTTTGAGAAGATGTTACATGTTTGAATGCAGAGCATGATCTGTTACACTTCAACTCTTCTGTGTGACTGTGTTATGGCAGCAGAATAAAACTGGAAAGTATCCAAAGGATGCGCATGTTTTCGTGGGTGTTTTTGTTTACTTTTTTCCTTTTCTTTAAATTTAACTAGTAGGTAAATCTACTTTATTACATTTGATATTACAATTTCATTTCAGATATTCCTACAGCTAGCCAATTCCTCAAAAGTGCTGCTCTACAGCCTTCACTGAGCTTTAGGTTTGATATTATTTGGACAATATTGTAAGTCAGTGTATTTTGCCTCAAAGTTTTACCAAATTTATAAGCTTCTATCAGATTATTTTCCTTAGCCAGAGGGAATTTTAGCTAAAACAGTTGTTTAGAAGCACTGCCCATAATTTTCAAATAGCCAGGAAAATCACCTGCGAACCACTTAATGCTTTTCACTGTAGAATGAACACTTTGTAGGACTGTGGTACTGAAAGATTCCTAATAGTCACAGATCACTGTAAGCATTTGCAAGCTTCACTACAGCAACAAATTCTGATAACACTTACCTACATTGTTTTTCTTGAAGGGGAGGTTATGTATTTGTTTAGTTTAAGTCCGACAGCAGACAACAAAAATAACCCACCCCAAACTGGTACTTCCTTTGAAAGTTTGTTTCAACCAGTTACACACGTAGGTCTGAAGCACTGAATGCATTATGGTGTGGAAGATTCACTGCTTTCCCCTAACCCTGTCATACTTATTAGCAGTTCAAAGTTTGTAGCCCCAAAATGCACTTTGTTCTCCTAGTATCTCCTGGCAGGAAAATTATTATCATTACACTTGACACTGGTCTTGAAAACGTTAACTTCATTCAATAGCAATTCAATAACAATTTTTGAAATGGAAACAAGATACTAATGCTGCTTTTAAAATTAAGTACAAATCGGTAGATTTCATCACGCTCCTCCTAGGAGTGACAGTCCTCCCAGAAAACAGTTCATGTGAAGGAATTTATTTCCTTTTAGCCCACTGGTCTAAAACTTAAATTGGAAATAAAAGTGGTGAGTCTACAAAGAGGTGCAATCCGGTGAACAAGGTCAGGTGAAAAGGCAGGGCAAGTTACATAATATTGCTACCCTCTTACCCCAGGACTTATGAAGATCATTTAGTTTACGCCACTACTTGGAACAAGTCCCAGTGGAACTGGTTGCTCAGAGCCCTGCCAGGTTGAGTCCTGAACATCTCCAACAACAGGGATTCTACAACTGCTCCAGGTCCCATCTTCGTGTGAGGAACCTCACAGTGAAGCTTTTCTGCCCCATCTGGTGCCTCCCATCCTCTCACTGTGCATCTCCAAGCAGAGCCTGGCCCTGCCTTCCCCATGCTCTCCTATTTGGTAGTTGCAGACTACAGTCAACTTTGTTATTCAGAAACAGGAATAATTAGATCTACCCAAGTGGTTATGAGTCACTGTCTCTCTGAAACAACAGCAGAGCTAATACACCTTATCGGAAATCACCATGCTGACTGCCAGGGGCATCATTTAGCCAGATAAAGCACTGGCCTCCAAAAAGGTTATTTTAAAGTCTATCTTAGTAGTGGGTAATCTAAACCCAGACATTCATGTATCTTGCTGTCACACGCCTTGTAACACGATAATGCAGTAGGAACACAGATGCTGTAAGCAGCCTGCTAGGCCCAAGGAGGCTATTAGTATAGAGCTTCCAGAAAAAAAAGTAGGATGGTTCGTAAAGCTGCATCTTCCTAATTTCATCCCTGCTCGATATGACTGAGCAGTGTACTGTGGGTTACCACGTAACTCCAACTCAACTCTTTTCCTACGGACATGTGACCTCTTCACTCAAAATTTCTATTCTTCCCTTTACCTTCCTAGCCCTCTCCACCCTTCTTCTACAGGGCCCATACACTGCTATCTCAGGTGCCAGGCTCAGTCTTAAGAACAGTTGTTGATACAAATAAGTCACTCAGGTTAACTTGGGTGGTGTTCCAGGTCACTAACCAAAATACTGAATAGCAAAACCTGAACTAAACAGAGGAACAAATATACTGGACTGCAGGAATTACACTGCAAGCAAACAAATCGAAATGTATTCTAGAAAAAGTCCTAACAACAGTCAGGACATAATCTTAAGCACCGGGAAGGTATATGCCTGAACACTTGAATTAGTTACCTTTTCTTTAGTTACCCAGTTCCTATTTTTTTATGAGCACCTCTGTACAGGATTTAGAGCTCTTATCAGCTGTTTTTAATCCAACAGCAGGAGGATAAGCAAGACATTTTGTTTACCTTTTAGTATTGTGCTGCAGTCTTTCTCCCAGTTGCAGAAAGAACTGGAATATTGTCTCAGCTGCAGCCAGACTGGTACGGGTAAGCGGCGAAACAGCTCAGACATTTCTTCTCTGTTGAGGGCTACACTGAGTTATAGTTAAGAGATTGAAACAAAGTATTTGAAGGATGCCAAGTTCATTTCCATTCCATCTGCACAATTCCAAAGTGGCAAGAAATGCGTACATACAATGAATAGAAGTACACTAACTTCTTGCAATTTTTTGTTAGAATTTTTATACTTGCGAGTCACTCATCTTAAAAACACCTCCTGACTCACACAACTGAAACGAACTGGTATGTTTACCTAAAAAACACAAAGCAGTTTAAGTGTTTGTAGAAAGTCCATCCCAAAACCCAAGAAAATTTGAAATAACTTTTTGCTTTTAAGTAGGACTTGGAAACTTTTGTTGCTTTTATTTGTAAATGAAAAAGTGGTTTTTACGTTAAGGCAGTTCTAGGAAAGGAAAAGAAAAAGCCAAACAAATAAAAACAAACCAACCTTACAGAACATATAAAATTGTACACTGATGCAAGGACATACATTTCAGCAATAGTCTCTTCAAAACAGAAAAGCTTGATGAAAAAGGCTTGACTAGTTTCTACAAGATGAGATAAAGACAACCTTGTTTCTGTACAGATTTTTTTCTTTTACTATACATTTAAGCAAACATTAGATCATTGAAATTGATTTACATTTTTGTGAAAGCCATTTATTGAATACAAAACCCCCCCATTACATTCAGCCTTATTATAAACCATTACACGCAAAGAAATCCAAAAAGTATGTTAAGAATAATAGTCTAACTGGCTGAACATTTTCAGAATTTAAATCCTTTATGAACCCATATTTCCCAACTGTACAATAAAATTCAAAAAATATGCTTTGTCTTTCAGCAATACTACAGTCAGAGAGATTCTGTGCTCATGGCATTAATGGCAGCCCACACTTTGGCAATTATTAGTTTCATAATTGTAAGTGTAGGATTTCCCAAGGTATATGGAGAACAGAAACCTAAATAACAAAACCTTATGCAAAGAGTTCACTTTGATCTGAAAAGCTGTGGGCCAAAGTTCAAGACTGCAGGCTTAAAAGTACCATTGTCTATGTCGAAGCACCAAGGCTCAGGTTCAGAAGAGCTTTCGCATACAGAAGAGAACTTAACCACACACATCAGCGCTATCCAATACAAAAGCCCCACTGTGGATTTCCAAAACTATTGATCCTCCCAGCTGTATATCTTGGAAACCCACTTCCAAGATGCTAGGCCATCAAGTCAAGACACGAAAGATTTTTTTGCGAAGTGACCTTTACAAATTTTCCTACAGCCTGTGGAGGGATTCATTTACTTTCTCAAGCCATTGAAACAAATGTATCTGTAGTAGTCTTTTATACAAAGTTATAAGCTGAAAAGCTTAAGTATAAAACTACAGCTTCGTTTTTGCACAAGGCAAGAGAGGGCAAACATCATAAAACCTCAGCTTTTTTGTAGCTTCATGAAACTTCTGCATACTTTTCATCATAGCCCCACTGCTGAACACTGACATTTCATGTCATAAATTCTAAGATAACAAGATTAAAAAACTGATTTGCACAAAAGAAATCTGAAATAACTTTATATACACAACAGAAAGCCTTTCTAAAGTACAAAAATAACATCTTTATGCCAATTAGTTACCATGCTTTGACAGTTCTCTCAGTGCCTACACATGCAAGACAATAATCTAGATTCAGAATAATTCTGCATCTGTAGAATGTATCAGAATATAAAAGAGATTAACATGTGACTAACTCTTGTTATTTTCAGAATGGATATGTATTCAAAATATCTTTATAACCAATACTGCAATATTCCAGTCTCTGCATGTACATGTGTAGATAAGCAGCTTTCATTTCACTTAATTTTAAAATATCCTGCAAGCTAGTAATCCACACTGAAAAGCTATGATGTTTCTAATGAATCTAGTTATACAAAGCAATTCAAAATGTACAAAAACTATAAAAAGGGAACATTTATTGCCATGCATGAAGCTTAAGTATGTTCAACTAAAAACTGCATCAAATGCAGCTTTATTTTCCCCCCTCCCCCCAAAAAAACCCAAAACAAAACAAGCAAAAAAACCCAAACTAAAACAAAAAGACACACAAAGCAATTTACATCAACACTCAACATTAGATCAGCAGAATCAGCTCTGACTAAATACCACCAAGGGTAACACACATTCCTTTTGCTGGTGCCTATCAGATCTTCAAATCCATGGGAACATAAAACCAGGAATCTTCATTCCCCACAGTCAAATCAGATCATGAGATCAACTGAAAAGAGAAGTGTATTAGTTTTCTCCTTTGTCTCAATCCAGTTACATACAGCTACTCCTTTTCCATCAGACTATCAAGAAAATGCACTCTACTTTAGCTATCACAAACCCCCAAGAATACCCCTACAGCAAACAAACTGCTTTCTTACACCTTCACTGATAGCGACACATGTACGCACAGCACACAGAAACTTTCTAGATAGCCATGTATCAACATATGCAAATGAAGCCAGAAGAGAAAGTTACTTTATTAACTCTGCTACGAAAACCTCACTTCTCAGGTTCCATTTTTAGTTCGGGGGCAAGCAAAAGTAATTGAACTTGAAATTTTTTTTATTAATCACCAACCACAGACCAGACTACAAATCGTTTGTCATGAATACATTAGATCACTAATCTTCAGAGCAGCAAACCTGAAGGCAACATAATAACTAAGCTACCAGAAGCAAATGTAGAGAAAAGCTACCTACCCTCTTTTTGCCTTCTCTCCTTGCCAAAGCTTGCAGGTCTGCAGAACTTACACAACCTCATGCATTGTTACATAAAATATGTTTGTGTGGTCAGTGCATGAATTACAGTGCACCTTGCAGTCAAGGCTGTCATTTAAAGTAAATGCATACCTTTCAGAGAGTAAAAGTCATCAAAAATGATGACAGCATGATAGCTTTAAGTTCTGCTTACCAAAGAAACTCATGACAGTAGTAGAAATACAAAAGGAAAAAAAAAAAAAAAAAAAAATCAAATTAGGAACAGAGCTCAGGTTTACTGGACCACTAAACTTCCAATACTATACAGGAGGCTATTAAAACTGTCACAGGATGCCATGCTCCTTTCTACAAGGCTGAAGAAAAAACACCCCAACCGAGCACATTTTCTAAATGATAACGTTTTTACCTCTTTGACTGTTTTTTTAATGAAGTCTTTCCTGTCAGATAAATCATAACTAGGATAGTTTTCATACACCTAAAAAAAAAAGTAACAAAACAAAACACACACAACAAAACAAACCTCAGATTACTTTCATTCAATGTACTGTATTAACAGAAGTTGCTTAAATAAAATTAGGGCAAAACCTGGTATTTCTAATATACCAAAATGCCCTCTGCTAATTATGGGAAGTGAAAAGCTTATTTTCTGTCTTTATTTTGACCACATAAATATTTAAATACTCTTTTTTATGCTTAGTCACTGACAAAACTCATGCTATAATTTTTCACATTAGTAAACTGGAATGCATAGCTTGCCTTATCAGGCAAGTAAGAACTCTCCAGCCTTTGTCTGACATGCTGTCAGATACCCCCGCACTAGCATAGGAAGCCAAACAAATATCAAATCCTAATGTTTACTTATTTTTTTTGGTAGTAAGTAAAATGGCAATCCTTTCAGGTGACTAACAGAAAAGCCAATGAATCTGAGTGCTACTCTACAACTATTTTTTAGTTAACTGGGTGGGAGAGGACCAAAGAAACAAGAAAGAGATGCCAACACTGACAACCAATGCAAAATATTTTAATTCAGTATACCAAATTTCAGACTTCTAGAAAGGCTAGAAAATGACCGTGACAAAAAGTTTACACAGAACATAAATAAATTGTTTTCTCATAACTTCTGGTTTCATTTTCTCAAGACAGTCTCCTGGAAGTACCAGAGAAACAAACACACAGTTTGACTATAGAAAACATCAAGGTAACAGTGTTGTCTGCGTGTAGTAACTTCTCCTTTCCTTTCCCAGCCACATGGACCCTTGCTGGCACCTGTCCTGACAATCAATGAACTCCTTGCTGAATTCATTCAACTCAACTAACGCAGATAAGAACTATTAACTTTTTTGCTGACAGATGAGAGTTGAATGGACTCAGAAAGAGCACATATGAAGAATGAGGACAAAGTGAGTAGGAGAAATCTAGAGAGCAGGACACAGCCCTCCCTTTTTGTCAGTAGCAAGCTCCTGCACCCTCTCAACATCTCAAATACTTTAGTACATGGCATTTGTTTTGGAGGTAATACTGCTACTTTCCATGTAGCTATTTTTTCTTTGGGGATTTCAATTCTAATGTTGGGTATCAGTGTTGCATTCCTTAAAATTAAAGCTCTCCTTGTTAAAGCTGTTAGAAAGTAAATAAATCAATGCAAAACTAGTTTGTTTCTGAACCATTGTGCAAAGTGCAAGCCTCCACTTCTGATACAATGACAAAAGTCAGTTCATAGACAACCTGTTGCCTAAAATGAAACTGCAATATCATACTTGCTTACCTCCTTGCAAATTTGTTTCATTGTGACCTCCTCCAAGTTTGCATTGGCCAACAAGTTCTTGACGGTTTCTTTAATTTCTTCATCTGTGGGTGGCTTCTTCAGCTTTTTAATTAACGGTTCATCATCTGAACTATCATCAGACTCGCTTTCTAAATAGGAAGAATAATTTGAGTTGTAACAAAAGGTTTTCCATTTGCCTGCTTTCTTCCTCCAAAACAGAAACTATCAGAACTTTCCCCAGACATGTGATGCAGATGCTCTCCCTTAAAACAGACACCTTGCCAGACCATCCATTTGAAGATAAAGGTAACGCTGTCAGCACTACATTTATTTATGAATCCGCACTGCTCTCGATGAACTATCAGTTTACAAATCAATATGAACTCTGAAAGGTATGGGACAGATTAATCTATCAAGCTAAAAAGTGGTTTATCATAATTTTAAATTGAGATCTCATGGCCCTTATTAAAAAAAAAAAACAGTACTTATTTGCTTTAAAAAGGAGTTTGAATTTTTTTTTTCCCCAACAGCACTGTGTACAAAGATCTTGTAATTTTGGAATGCTGCATTACTAAACATGCTATCAGAAAAATCACGACAACAAATTAAGAGAATCATAAAGGAAGTTCAGTCAAGAGGCACAGGACTCTACTACAATCTCTTCCAGCAGCAAAAATAATTAGACTGAACAACTCCACTCAGTTCCTGCACTGCCAACAACAACAAAAACATTAGAGCAGATGCCAAAAAATGTAGATAATGAGCTCACAGAAAGACCTACTTAACATTTTGAATTTTGTATCAAGAACATATACTCAAAACAGAAATACAGGAAGAGTACAAAAGAAATGATGAATATATTACACAACTTATACGCAAAACACATACTGACATTTATATGTGTGTGTGTTGATGACAAACTAAAATGTACACACAGAGTCAGTCACATTAGTACTGCTGGCAGTCAATCTGAAAATACAGAGTTCAGTACAGGCCACTTAACTCTCCTGAGTAATAAAGCTATGAAGGAAGTTCAGCATAATTCTATGCATGAGAGTGTAACCATTCCTTTTCTTAACATGCTGAAAAGCAGGGTAATTAATCTGAACTGATGTCTGCTATAGAATGCATATGTCTATTGCTGGCATTAAATGAAGTGTGTTTGCAGCATGAATATATGCTACATTAATAACTCATACTACAATTGTGACAGAGGCATGGCTGTTACCTCAGAAAGCAAGAGAACTTAAAGTGAGAAAGGACCTATGAAGATCATCTGGTTTAAGCCACTACTCAAAACAGGGCCAAGTGTAATTGGTTGCTCAGGGCCCTGCCAGGCTGAATTCTGAACATCTCCAACAACAGGGATTCTACAACTGCTCCAGGCCCTGTTTCCATGTGACTAACCTCATGGTGAAGCTTTTCTGCCCCATACCTGTAATTGCAATTTCCCTGGTGGCAACTTGCACCTAGTGCCTCCCATCCTCTGTGCATCTCCAAGCAGAGCCTGGTCCTTCCTTTCCCATGCTCTCCCATTGAATAGTTGCAGACTGCACTGTGATCCCCCTTTATCCATCTCTTCTTAAGGCTGACCAAGGCCAGCTCCCACAGTTTCTCTCCCTGCATCATGTACTCCAGTCCCCTGGCTGTCTTGCTGACTCTCCACAGGACTCGCTCCATTATGTCCGTGTCCGTCATGCACCCAGGAGCGCAAAGCTGGACTCTGCTCTTGGAGGCAGACTCACAAGGACCAAATAGGGGGTAAGAATCACTTCCCTCAAGCTGCTGGCTACACATGTGCTGAAACAGCTGCTGCCAGTGTTCCTTATCACAAGGGCATGTTGCTGAGTTGGGTTCAACTTGCCATCTGCGAGAACCACCTGCCCCCCTACCCTGATCTTTTTCTACAAAGCTGCTTAGAAAGAAACCACTGTACCCACCTGCACTGCTGCAATCTTTACACAGGTATTAATAAACTCAACATATGGATAGCTTTTATGCATATCAATAGGACACATGTAAAACCCATATTTATGTTAACAAAACCCAAAACAAGCTGCTGAACAAAGGACATGCACAGTGGGAATATATACTTCTGGATTGGTAAGATTTGTGTGAAGTCATTAAACATGCACCAACAGAATTTTGCTAGCATTCTTCCAGCTGAAAGGAAAACCAAGCTGATATTTTCAGTTTATATGCAAACACAAAGTACATATATATATATATATTATATATATATATATGTACTTAACAGAAGTTACAAAGTATTCCAAACAAAGACCCTTTTTAATTGCTGTTACAAGGAAAAAAACATCAAGTAGCAAGCCAAGGATCCACCAAGTTCTATTTTCTCTCACAATTAGGTGCAAAATCTTGCTTTCTAATAAGCATGCCAGTTAAGCCACAAGTCAACGTATAATGAAAGATTTAAAGCATTTACCTTTTCTAGAACTGTTCTGACTTTTTTTAGTAGTGCTGCTATCTGCCTTCTTGACGTTCGCACTCTTCACAGCTTTCTTGGTTTTGGAAGTATTCTTTTTAGATCTTTCTCTTTTAGATGTTTTTCTAGGAGGCTATAAAGAAGAAAACCAGAAGATCAAAATGATGGCTTCTACCCAAACAATACATACATCTTTTCCACAATAGAAATTACCATTTCTGTCAATACAAACTAAATCAGCAAACTTGATTACTGAGTTTTGCTGGCAATTTCTACCTGTATACTACAGGGGGAATATGTCCATAAACAGTATTCCTGCATTCTTTTAGATTTCACATTGTCCTTCTATGTGGACTCTTAAGCTTACGCAGTGAGAACTTTCTGATGGTACTAGCAGTTTGGTTGTGCTACAGCTTTCTATTTGTAATTACTTATAATTAGCTCAAATAATTGTAAAGATTTATTTAAATTTCAAGAGTGAAAACGAAAGATTTTTCAACTTTTCAGCTTTCAAATTTTTGCTAAAAGCTCAATCACCAGGTACAAAGTCAGAAGACAAACCTGGGACTCAGATTTCAGTTTCTTATAAAATTACGCTCTCCAAGTACACAAAAATATTTCAGGTATCTTTTGCTTCCAGACAACTAAGACTTTTTGTATTGTTGGCCAAGTTCAGCTGTAGCAGTTATTTTTTCTCCTTCCTAGAAGCTGGTGCCCTGCTGTGTTTTTGACTTTAGTCTGAGAACAGCTCTGACAGCAAAACCTAAAAAACATTGGTGTGTTAAGTAATGCTAACTCTGACCAAGGACTTTCCAGTCTCTCATGCTCTGACAGCAAGGAGATGCAAAAGAAGCCAGAAGGAAGCAGAAACAGGACACCTGACCCAAACTAGCCAAAGGGGTATTTCATACCCAGTCTACAAACCGGGGGGAGTCACCCGGAAAGCCCAGATCACAGCTCGGGACAGGCTGATTATTGGTCGGCAGGTGGTGAGCAATTGTATTGTGCATCACTTGTGTTTATTGTTTTCTTTTCCTTTTCCCCTTTTAGTTTTATATTCTCTCCCCTTGTTATTTCCCTTATTATTATTACTAGTGGTAATAGTAGTAGTAGTTTTGTATTATGCCTTGGTTACTGGACTGTTCTTATCTCAACCCATGGGATTTAAATTCTTTCAATTCTCCTCTCCATCCCTCTGGGAGCAGGGGAGGCATGAGCGAGTGGCTGCATGGTTCTGAGTTACTGGCTGGGCTTAAACCACAACAATTGCTTAAAGGAAGAGTTGCAATCAAAAGACACACAACCTGAGGACAATCTATTCCAGTCACTCCATGCACAGAATTCCCACAAGCTGGGGCCGCAATGCTTTGATGCCTACATCCTTCAACCTGTGGTATGTTAAAGGTACGCCATAAACCTAACCTTTTTTTCTTTTTTTTCTTTTAATACTGCAATCTTAAAGTTGTACAAATGTAGCCATTTTCCATTTGATTTCCTACATTCAAACTAATTTGACATACTAACGCTCTTGTAATACTTAAGCTTTTATGCAATTCAACTTCAGTTTCCAAAGTCTGCTCAACTACTGCTGAGCACTTTGGAGGTTGCAGGGATCTTTGTTAGGCTGCTTACTATGTTGCTCAGTCTATCTTTGTGATTCAAGATAGAGAATCCTAAAAGAGATATTAGAACATAAAATCCAGGATAAATATGGAACAAAGACCCAAAAACCAATGCAGTTAGGTAGATCAGAGAAATTTACTGAATTCAAACTTAAGTCATAGGTATCAAATCATACACTACACAGAAAAAGCCCAGATATAAATAGATATTGACAATTTTTATGAAACTACAACAAAGTCATCACAGATGATAAAAGAAATGCAATCAATTATGCCTGAAATCCTGGCTAATCCAAAATGATGTAGAATGAATGTTTTTATAAGGTGCATACATATATCCAAGAATTGGAACCTTTGGCTTTTATCTTATTGATTCTCTAACACACTAAAAAATGATGAAAATTTCTTACAAATTGCAGATGTTTTGTGTTTTTTTTTTCTTTTTAAACTATTCATTCAGCTAAACATCACTTACTCCCCAACTGTGTTCCAAGAATTACCAGTCAAGAATAACTATGTAATGATAAATTGCAGACAAATGTTTTTAGCCCTATGTTGAAAAGCAAACAAAAATTCTCATTACCTCATCTTCACTTTCTTTTTCTTCTGAAGAGTCATCTTTTTCTTTCTTTTCATCTTCTTCACTACTGGATTCATCTGACAAGATCTCTGGACACTTGGTGCGTTTTGATTTTCTTGTTGTTCCAGTGCTACTGCGCTCTTTTTTGCCACCTTTGCTTGGTGTTTTTTTGGACTTTGGCAATGGCTGAGAAACAAGGATGTGTGTAATCCAAGTATCAATACAAAAGTGAATTTAAAAAAAAAAAATTACTTCAAATCACGTGAAAGTAAACAAATATAGAGGTCTCTGAGCCTTGGTAACAAAACCCAGGACTATTTTATACACTAAACTTTAGCCATTAACATTTCGTATTAAGCAGAAATTCATTGCAGAGACAGAGCTGAGTAAAATGAAATTTCAGTTCTAAGCTAAGCACCCCTTTCACTCCCCTAACCAAACAAATCTTCAAAGGTTGGGGGTTAGGGAAGGGAAGCAAGAAAAGCAATCTAGCAAGAACTTTTACATACCTATATCCTCCCACCTCATAAAAGTACACTTTTTTCGGGTAACAAATTAGCTGATAACTCTTCTGAAGGCTTAAAGGCAGGAATTCTGACATGTCTTATGCAAAACTGCATTTTGTTGTCACTCAGTACCAGTGCATCTAAGTCGGCATGCAGAATTTCCTGAACAACAGTCTAACTATTCAAGTATTGCTTTTAGATTAAAAACTGAAACCCCAAGATCAATAGAGTTTTGTAGTCTTGGCAGCAGAATCAAGTACACAAGCATATACTAGTTAAAGCAAGTTTTCCTAGCGTTACAACAAATTTCATCTTGTGATGACCAAATGTGATCATATTCACTTGCCAATTTGTAGCATACCCAGGTAACATCTGACTGCTTATTTTCCTGTCCTTTGATGTTTTATTCCTTTGCTGACACCTTTTTTTTTTTTCCCCTTTCCTGCTCACATATTATGTCTATTCCCCTCTTTTCACCCATAAAGCAGAAGCTACTTATGGTATTTGGGTATAGTTTCCTGCGTTGACTACATACACTATGTGCACTAACAGTGCATAACAGGTACACTTACATAATAAGCATATAGTGTCTAAGCTCTCACCCCATTGTAGATGCCTGCAAGAGTAAAACTATTCTCTTTCAAGAGCCACTGCTACTTCAGCAGGTACAACATAACTGTATCAGCACCGATAACATGCAAATAATAAACAATAAAGACAGCTGCATGTTTCATCAGAACAGAGCTGCAAAAGTGAGTGTAACAACCCGCATCTCACCTTGCCTGAAGATTTTGGATGCATTAAGAAGTTTAAGATTCTCGTGACAAGCTCACTATTAACACCTGATCTTTCCAAGTCGAGAACTTCACAGATACTTTTCAACATTGCATTTCTAAATCTGGGGAAGGAAGGGAAAAAAAACAAAACAAAAAAAAAAAGAGAAAAATCAGTATCACATCCTAAACAATCAGTCAACATTTGACTCCTTGAAGCTGCCATCTGGTTTGTGTCTGGAACCAAACACTTAACTACATTTCCAGTCTTGCCTATCTTACACAAAGCAACAACACCCCATTACATAAAGCATAATCAAACAAAAATCCCAAATTCATATGTGTGTAAAGTAGGATATATTAAAAAAAAAAGTTATAAAATCTTAGGGGGGAGAGGAGGAAAATCTTCTCCAGCACATTCCCTAACCTACCACATTGGAAAGAATCAATCTTGGGACAATGTATCCAGTGGCTGCAAGACCACGGGGTCTTCGCTTAATTTTCTCTAGTTCCTTACCCCCTTATGGCAGTACCTTTGATGAAGATACAAGGTTATGAGGAACCTCGTATGAGAAACTCTGACATTCACCCCCTTCAAGATCCAAAAGGATCTTGAACCAGTTGCCCTGCTTCATCATTTGTTCCACTGGTATTGAAAAAAGTGAAGAGAGAGTCAGATCCTGCGAGGGTACAACATCAGAATAGAAGCATGATGAGACTTTAAAATCAAAACCAAAAAAGCCCCTACTTACTCTATCCCTTACTTCCCTTCAAATGCTTATACTTTTCACTAATTTTGTACAATGCTGCCTGAAAAGTGGATTTTGTCTGACCATTTTTCACAAGTTTAATAGCTATTTCTGATAATCACATTAAAAGGAAACTTATTTTTATTATTTATTATTATTGTTTGTTTAAAGCCAGTGCAGCTATTCCATGGGGGCTTACAACTTCCCTAAAGTAGCATTTAATTTCAGACTGTCCCTTTAAACTCAGACTTTTAAGGGGGCAGAACAACTTTGTTCTCTGATATTTTAGGGCATGGGAAGAGGAAATTTTGACAGGTCTGATGTACCTCCCAACCTCAAAGTATAGTTCATCCACCACCCTTCCAACAATTAAATAAATTCTTTCAATCATTTTTCTAGACAAGCTTATAAGAAGTTTTGTGTGATCTTACTGTGTGGAAAGCCTTCCTGTTTAGCTTCTGGGCATACACTGAATACTTGTAAGGTATTCCTGCAGAATCAAAGTCAGTCTCTTGCATTTTGAAATACAATAATACTATAGAGTTAAAGCAAGTTAACGTGTCAAGAGATTTTAAAAATGCATAGTGTCGAAGTTTGTTTCAGACTTTCAAGACCTTGTATACTGAATTTAGGATTTTATGGTTCTATTGCTGCTTTAACTAAAATTGCTTACAACTTGTTTTACACATGGCATTTGTCCCTGTATTTTAACTTGGGACCAGCCTTTCATACTTCTAATACTTTGATGGTACGTCTGCAGGTAATAGCAGTCCTAGGTATTAAAATGCAGTTCAAATGTGGAATAAACAAGTGCACACAAAGTTCTGAGTCTGTAATTTCCACGGCAAGTATTTTTGACTTACAAAATACAAGAACTCTAATTCACACATCAACCTCAACCCTCATTCTTTCTGATTTAGAACCAGAATAGTCAGATTCTGCAAAAAAAATTTTGTCCTTTGTTCACCTTGTTCAATGGTGTTAAAACATGATGACATGCAAGTGTAGTGTGGGCAGAAATCAACCACATAGAATAAATTAATAATCTAACCAGCAGCATCTCATACATAGCTATGAACAGCAGCAGAATTTAACACAGTAATGCAGACATGCAGGGCTTAATGTAACAGTCAGGTTTCAGAGTATTTGCTGAAGAGTGAAGAGTAATAAAACTTAACTAGTAGTTCCTTCATATTGAAAATACAAAAAAAATAAGTACAAAAATATTTTGTGACCTTCTGCAGATAAAGGAAAACATTACCCAATAAAACCAATTGGAAACAGTTCATATCCCCATCCTGAGACAGTTTGTCTTATAGATTCACATGTACTTCACAAACCCTAGTCCTAGAAAATTGTGTATCTTGGAATTCCAAGATTTGCAAGAAAATTGCAAATTTTTAATTCTGGAAGCCTCCACACTATCATCAAACTGACACTAAAAAAAGATTTAGAATCAACTGGGTGGAAGTTAGGAGTTCTTTTGTTAGTAGTTTTTTTCTTTTTTCTTGTCACAACTAGGTGAACAGATACGCAAGGGCATTTTTAAACCCTTTCAGAACAGTCAAAAATCAACCTGCAGCCATTTATCCTGTTAATAGAAAAGCAGCTAATGTGAAGAGACAGTAAAAGAAGAAATATTGATAGACTAGCTGCTACAGCAATTCTAGGAATAAGACTATGTTTAATACATAAGCAGAAATAGCTTTGATTCTGAAGGAGAAAGTTTTCGAGGCATAGAAGGATGCAAGTTTGCAGCATGAACAGGGCATAATGTATTCACAACACTGGGGAAATGTTTTTTTCTCACTTGGCAGAAAAATCTGCTAGTTAGCATGTAATAGTTAAAATCATCTTTAAAGATCGGTTTGTGTGATAAAAATCAGCTCAGAAACAGCTCAAGGAAACAGCCATTCAGCTTAAAATTATATTTAATCTGAAGTAAAATTTTGAAAACAAAAAGGAGTGTATAACATGAGTCAAGATATGATAAGAAGCAATAATTACTTTTTTAACATTTCTTCCTTCTTTTTGTATTGGTCACTTCCTTTTTCAAATGGGAACCCGCTGAACTGACCCACATTCTTCTTTAGGGAAGCAACCTGGAACAGAACACACAATTACTTTCCAATGCAAGTACTTTCAAAAGATTTCATCCAATTACATGTCAACTTTGCATACAAGTCTATTCTAGCATTTAGCTTTCTGTTGACAAAAAATTATCTCTTTCAAGTGATAACATATATGCCTTTATTTATGTCATGGCAGCTATACTACAACAAATTTACTAGCATGCTAGCATGCATCTGTACTAGCAGTATTCAGTTCCTGGTTTCTGTGCTAGCTGTTCAGATTTCCAAAATACAGAGATTAAAAGTACCAAGTTCTTGTGATCTTCTTACTTTAAATAACTTCCTAGGTAAAAATCACCTGCCACTTCAAGCTTGTTTAGAATGTATTCCATGATTATTTACATGTTTGCACAAATACGAACATATGTAGCCTGTTGCATACTTCATACTATAAAGTTTGTTACATAACAGTGAATTTTATTTTTACTATATAATCTGCTAAAGCAGATTTGCTTTACCTGCTTTTCTAGTCTTACATCGGACCATGATTATACTTCTGAACCTTTTCTTTAGCGTAACTAATTTTTGCATTCACATACCACTTGGTTTACAGCTTCTACCACTATACCTGTAGTCTAAACAGAGTTAAATTTCACTGCAAAGCCTTTACAATGGGAAAATTGCTCCCATCAAGACACCAATATAGTTCTTTGTTTTCACTCTCTCTTTTTACCAAAAAATAAGTTAAAAAATATCCCCAAATCTTTCATTCTCCTGAGATTTTTAACACCATCAAGAATAACTTGAACCCACTTTCAACAGTTCTACAAATTTTGCTCCTGGTATTTCTCCATTAGCTTATAATTTTACCAAAGCTAAGCTCCTTTTCCCAAAGAGAATTATTTTTGTCCAGCACCTGGAGAAAATTTGCAGACGGTATTGGTATGGTTTATTAAAAACATTAATCATGATCTAAAGCACATACAGAACATGCATACAAGACAACATCTCATCTTCACCATATTAAACAGCATTCTGAGTTCCCAGTAATACCAATTAAATATAGTTTTGGATGAAACCATACTGATATATTTCTAAGCAAATCAGTATATTTTTATACCTTTGGACTCAAACCACTGGGATGCTGCAGCAATCCAGCTGGACTTTCCAACAAGTCTATGAATAAAGGACTAAATGCGGGAGGGCAAAGCAAAGTGTGGGGGGTGTGAGGTGAAAATGTAATCAAGTGGTAGGGAGAGAAGGGAGAGAGCTGTATTTCAACAGCAGTTGTGTCTAATTAATATGGTTTAGGGGCATCAAGTATCAATTTACATCATTTGGACATAATTAAGAAATGGCAAACAGATGTGTCTATTAGTTTATTATATAAATTATTATTGCTAAACCAATTATTAATAACAGTTGTTAGTTTCTTCGTAGTGTGTCTCAGATCTGCAATCTTAAGTGGGAAAGGTGGATTCAGAGGTTATGGTATCCCAGTAGCTCCACCCAAAGATGGTAAGATGGTTTCATGAAGGGTAAATGGACCAATTTGAAAACTTCTATGATAAAGCCAGTTAAATGGGAAAGTTACATGGTTCTGCCATGGTACCTTCCCTAACAAACAATTAAATTCTACTGCGGGACAATCCAGAAGTTTGCAAAACTCTGAATGCACCAAGTTAGAAATTCTCTAGTCTGGTCTACTGCCATAATGAATAACTAGCAGTTCACAGAAGTAGGTGTTAGTGAATATATACTGTTATTTTTCTGAATACGTGAGGCAAGAGATCTTTCTTTGCCATTTAAACAAGCATTGCATTAGCAGCAGTGGTCTGAGGTATTACTAGTGAGCTAGCATTAATCTATACTAGTAGTCTTCAGTTCCTGGTTTCTGTGCTAGGTGTTCAGGTTTCCAGAATACACAGAGATTAAAAACAAATTCTTATAAATACGATATGTGTATTGAAGTAGTAAAATTTAATCTGCTTAAATTTCTCTACATCCATTTTCCCTGTATAAGCAAGGAAAATGGGCCATATTTACCCCAAAATTTAAGGCACAATCACTGATATATAAAGAGCTCCAAGAATGACTTGCTATTGCATTTTCTTTAAGTTTCATACTTAAATACAAAAGCAAGCATATAATTTTTCACTAATATTTTAACTGTCTTAAATAAATGTGCCAAAAATCACTATTAAGATTTTACATATAATGTAGTTTTACTTTCTACTGCTTTATGCAAACTAAAGGAGAAAATCACTAGGTCAGTAGCAATGTATTAACATGGTTCAAACACTAAACAAATAGAAGTACCAAGAAAAAGCTATGTTCAACAAAAGAACTACATGGAGTATTTTGACCATTATCTGCACGTCAGCAGCTAATAGCATGTGAACCATAAAGTATTTCCAGCTCATCCTCATAAGGTAAACCACTCCTCCTCCCATTAAAATAGAATAAAAATTAAGAAACTATAATAAAACATTTTCACTATGCATGAGAAATAACAGGTATAAGATTGATTTTAAATTCTTACAGTGCCTGGCCTGTTGTAGAGAAGTTTGTGCAGGTTCCTAAGTTCGTCTGTCTTCTTTTTACTCAGAAAGAATTGTATCCTTTCAATTTCACAGAGTTTTTGTCCTTTTCCTGAAACAATTAAAATCAATTATGCTATTCATCACATTCATCAGTATGTGTTCATAACTTCAAATATGTACTGTTTTGTTAAAAAAGCAAAGAAGTTATTAAGCAGGCCTCTTCCTATCAATTAGGCATCCTGACAGTCCCTTTATCTACCTTACTTGACAGTACCTACACCGGTGTACAAGGACCTGGCATTTACTTTTTATTATAACTGCTCCTGCCTTTCTTAGTGGTGGCTAGGTACTGAAGATCCTATTCCAGGTAAGTGTAAACATTATCTTTTATGGTTTAAACTGATGTTACAGAATAAAAGAGGGTTTTCATATAACAGCCTTATCATTTTAATTGGATAATGACTCTTAAGTTAGGTCTCATCTACAACAAATAAGTAATTTGATCTTTTAAGAGGTTTCATTATCAATTCCAACACTCACAGTTATTATGTGACAGGACAAGCTTACCTGGCGTAATTGTAAAAGGTTCCTTTTGCAATGAGGACACTTGCATGGTCAGTCGGTCAACCTTCTTTTTCTCTCTTTTCCCTTCAACAATTAGACTCTTTTCTGCAAAGGACAGCTTCCTTAAACACAGTATTTTTTATTACAGGAGCAGATTTGACTGTAGTGACGAGCAATACAACACTGCATTTTTGACATGGGAAACCAAAAATGGATTATGATATAACCAGCTACTATGACACTTTCAAACCTTTTGCCAATAGGTCAATGGGATTCTACTGATCTCTGCGTGTGTGTACATATGTAACTAGAGGAGTCTAGTTCTTAACCACAGTCCTGTATTCAACTTAACCTACACACACCAGCTCCACTTTAGCCTTCCTGGGGAGAACACTACCACCAGATGGGCAAAAGGAGAGTCCAGCATGCCTGCAGACACTTTCTCTTCCCACTACTGGACTGCAGGTCTTACATGTATCAGCAGGAAAGGCAGAAACACAAGATCAGTGGGACTGTAGTACACCTCACAGGGCTACACAGTGTGACCCTCAGCAGGGCACAATACAAGTGTCACAATTACTATAAGAACACTACTTCCAGTAATTCTGATACTGTTTAAATGAATACAATGTTTTATGTATACGCTGCACATCACTACTTCAACGATGTCATGTCAGGAGAGAAACCAAATGCTTGACCTCAACATTTCATACTAGAATACTTGACCTCAAATCAAACTATCCTTAGCAGTAAATATATGGGCTGTCCTGGCGTTAACATCTGAAAGCAGCTTCAAAATCTGTATGAACATAATCAAGCCTGGACACGTATCTGCTGAAAACGGAGAAAAATATATGTGGGTGTACACAAGAAACAGTTGTTTCTAAAAGCCTAATTCTAATTAGGCTATTCAAACAGCATAATCTATCTTCTTTCTACTACCTTTCCTAAAGACAACCTTTAGCTTTTTTAAGAATCCATGAGTGACTTAGTTTTCACTGTGTCATACAGCAGCTCTATTTCCATGGATGCCTTTATTTGCAGAACAGGTGCCTAGAGATTTCATGATGGGAATTAACATTTTTGCATAGTAGTTCCTTCATCACATCTTGTATACCTTGGCTATCCTATTCAATTACATGCCACAACATAAAACCCACCTTGCTTGCTCATCTACGATACCACTATATCATCAGTCAAATGGGATATTCCCCCTCCAGTATAACTGAATTTTGGTACCCAGTAAATTAATCCATAGTAGTTAAGCAAAGACATCTGTATTGTTTCCAACAATATGGCACAGATTTTTGAAGTGTATCTCTTTTGCAAACATAAATCACTTCTGTGTTACTGGCAAAAAAGAATTCTTTTTTGGATATGCATTTTCATACAGATAATTTCATAAAGGACACTACCTATTCCAAGCATCTAGAAGTTTATACAACAACAACAAAAAAAACAAAATCCTAGCGTAGGAACCCAGGATGCTGGCAATTATTTCAATCTTTCCTGAAGAACAAGAGCATTGCTGTTTCTACTGTCACCTGTTACAGTCTACCGGGAAGTGATTTATGACCCATAAGATATATCACGGAATTTCCTAAACTGCAATTGTACAATTAGCTAAAATTACAGGAGAATGCATTCAGTAAGCTTGGCATTTTTTAAAGGACAACTTATTCAGTGGAAAAACAAGTACCCTTTTCTTCTTCCTCCTCCTCCTCCTCTTCTTCCTCTTCTTCCTCGCTTTCCTCAGCTTTGTCTTTGTTTTCAGTTTCAGACTGTTTCTCATCTGCTTTTTCAGATGACATTGTGTCTTCTTTTGATGAAGCAACAGAAGACATGGTGTATGGTTCTATAAAAACAAGTCAGGGAAACCACCATCAATATAGCATTACAGATGATAAATACAGGAAACCTGCTTTTTAAAAACATCTTCTACTGTCTACATGATATCACAATGCTCATATTGTGATTGTTCACATTTTTTAAGACTCTAAAGTATTCTGCATATACATAATAAAAAAGGTTTTTGAGGAATAGTTGCCATCCATTCTGCAACTAGACTGGTTAAGGACAATTTAAAAGGTTATAAATTCTTTCTGACCACAAGTCTTTGTGAAGCATTCGTAAACACCCACTCAAAGCAGCTGATGCTGCTATCTATTGAGAACTGTAATGTTTTAAGGTATTTTAGTACATTGTATTATAAACTGAATAGTTATTTCTGATAATGGTTAACTATGCATACAAGGTTCCTAATAAGTTGAGCAAGCTACATATTAACATGGGAAATAAGAACCAAAGCATAAAAAGTTACGAACAATTTAGAAAAAATTAACACTGCCTTCAGAGTTCAGATAGCTGAGACATCTCAGGGTTTGAAAATGCTTTTTGGCTTTAATCTGTAGATCTACAACAAAAAAGAATAAATGCTTCGTAGTCAGCATGTTTAAAAGGAGTCTTTTCTTAGCATCATAAGTGGCTTAAATGTTAACTTAAAAACTTAAATATCTCACTTTGGCAAACACCACTTCCCTACTGACTGAGAATGTGAAATAAAACAATCTAGCTTTCAGAATCTTCCACTGTTTACAGATCTGGAACAAAATACATCATCAGCTGTATAAGCCCTTGTGGAAAAATTATGGTTAAACACTTTCTTTTTCTGATACTATAAAGTCAGTATTATTTGTAGGGGTTTAAGATGAATGGACAATTAAATCAACTGCTTATATGCAATACTAGCACGTGCCAGAGAACAGCAACACTCCAAATGGCAGAAGATATGAGTTATATTATCAATAGGAAAAAGGAAGTTTACTATTCTTTGCTAAATCACAAAGGAAAAAAAAGTTAAATCTCTTTCAGGGTATTGCTACCAGTATTTAATTCGACATGGAAAAGTAACCCGATTTTTTCGTTATATGACTCTGAATTTTATTTGCACAACTGGAAGAGCAAGTGAAGAACTACAAGTTGTCTTTCCTTACCCTTTCAACGAGGGCAGAAGGGGAATAGGAAAATTAAGAGGCTTTTTAGCGTTTCCAGCAACCAGGTCCGCGAGGACAACTTGTTCAGTGAAAAAGGGAGACACCTTTAGGAAGACTTTAGTTGGGCGTATTTTGGGCCGGGAGAGAGTATCTCGCAATCCGCCCCAAGGATAATTGTGCACAACAGCACGTCCCACCCATGTCCAACACCTTTCAAACGTGGACCCGCCACCCGTCTCCTTCCCTAGTCGGAGGCCGGAGAAAGCAACCACGATGGACAGCGCCGGAAGGAGCCGGCCGCCAAGGAACAGGGCGGCAGGGCAGCGGCGAGCGCCACCCCTCTCCCCGTACCAGCTGGCAGTGACACCGCTCCGCCCCGCTCCCTCCGCCGGACCGGACAGAACGCCCAGGAGACAACTCCAGCAGAAAACACAGCCCGGCGCCCAGACGAAGCCTGTGAGGGAGACGGCCCCTGGGCGCCGCTGAGCCGGCGACAAGCGCCCCCGGCACACAGCCTGTTCCCCGGCGGGATAGACGTCCAGCTGCGCAGCGGCCGCATTTCATTTCCCCTCGTCACCCCGCCTCCCTGGCCGCTCCGCCCGGCTCAGCCCAGCACGGCCCGGCCGCGGCAAGGTGACAAGGGAAGAGGCGGGAGCGCGTCCTGTGGCGCCGTTATGGCCATGGCGGCGGGACCCACCTCAGCTCGAGCCCCAGATCCTATCTCCTTTCTCAGGCGCGGCTGCGGCAGCAACAGCGGCTGGAAGCGACAGTTACCGGAGGATGGAGAGTGCGGGGCCGGGCGCCACTACGCACAGCGACACACAGACGCGTCCCGCCGCCGGTCGGTCACTCGTTCGGTGTGTCGGTCGCTCGGTCACTCTCCTTCTCCACCCCGGAATCAACAAGGTTTTCAAAATGGCGGGTTCTCGAACGGCGAGAAGGAAGCGGGAAGGCGGAGGCCAATCAGCGCCCACAACCCGGCCGGAGCGGGGAGGGGCCGGGTGCGCGCGCAGGGAAGGCTGTTGTTGGGCGTGTGGATGTGAGCGACGTGCTCCCGCCCTCCCAGGTGACGTCAGGCCGCGAGGGGCGGGGCCAGGTAGCGGAGTGCTGCGTGAGGGCGTTTGGGTGTGCTGAGGTGAGGAGGGTCAAACCGAATTAAGTTAGTATATAACTCTGTAATTGATAGCAAATTCAATTAGTATTTCACTGAATATAGAGACTTAGAGCTACAAGTTCGTAAACTAGAATTTTACTGTGTGTAGGGGGTATGGAGATAAGGCAGGCATGCAGCAAGAGAACCATGTCTTCTGTCAAATCAATATATGCCCTCTTTCTGTTGATAAGAAAAAAGGTAAACGGCTATGAAAGACAACATCTCGAGGAGCCTTTCAGGATCATAAATTAACCCAAACAATAACATGTAGTTAATTGGACAGACTAAACACATTCCAGTGTTCTTCAGTAACAGAGTTCCATAAAAGGGTACAATGAATGGGGATATTTCTACCCAAACGACCCCCAGAGCCCACTCCTCAAGATTCATAGCACCTGCACAGCAGCCTTACCTTACCCAAATCACCATATGCAATGAGTAACGGGAATTGGATGGGCACTTTGCAGAATTACCATGAATATGTATATAATGCAGATAAATAAGCTGCAAACTGTCTTTTCTCGGTGTGTATGACAGGCGGAGCGATCCCCCATGCACCCGGTACCGTAATAAAGTAATATCGGCTTTCTAACCTGTCATTCTGGTCAGACAGTTTATTTCCCAGATTTCGGTGACAAGGGGAGAGGGACACGGGTGTGTGTGAAGGGCCGAGCCGCTCCTCCGCCGTTCCCGTCCCCACTGGTGCTTTGTGGGCGCCAGTTCAAAGTGCCCTTTCCGTCCCATGCGGTCACGACTCCGCTACCCTGTGGGTGGGAAGGGCTCGAGCGATCCAGCTTTATTGTAACAGCCTCGTCTGCTCGCGCCTGCGGGTGCTGGAGAAGTGTAGAGCGGCGGCCACGGTGCTGACAGGCTGAGGGATCGCAGGCAATGGAAGAAAACAGAAGAAAAGTAGAAGCTGGGGCTGAAGGGTGAGGTCTTCTGCTCAGCCGTGTGAAATGAGACAAGTCACAGATGGCCTTCGAAAGGGCAAAAGCCCTGTCTTGCTCCCTGTGCTACCTCTGCCAGAACTTAAGATCTACTCTTCAAACCAAAGAGGAGCTTAGTGTGCCTTCAGCAAGGGTCAGGAGTACTCAGAAAATAGATTGAATAAGGAAGCAGCTGGAACTAGTCTCCTACAGCATCCAGGGGAGGTCATGAAAATGATAAGAGGGCTGGAGTACCTCTCCTGTGGAGACAGACTGAGAGAGCTGGGCTTACTCAGCCTGGAGAAGAAAAACTTACAGAAGACCTTACAGCAGCATTCTCCAGCACCTAAAGGGGGCCTACAAGAAATCTGGAGAGGGACTTTGTACAAGGGCATGTAGTGATAGGACAAGGAGTAATGGCTTTAAACTGAAAGAGGGGAGATTGAGATTAGATATTAGGAAAAAGTTCTTTCCTGTGAGGGGGGTGAGACACTGGTACAGGGTGCCCAGAGAAGCTGTGGCTGCCCCATCCCAGGCAGTGTTCAAGATCAGGTTGGATGGAGCCTTGAGAAACCTGGTTTAGTGGAAGGTGTTGCTGCCCATGTCAGGGGCTTTGGAACTAGATGACCTTTGAGGTCCCTTCCAACCCAGACCATTCTGTGATGCTGTGAATTAGCCAGTGCTGATGACTGTCTCAAAGCTACATTATACTGCCAGCAGTTTGTTGGCTAGTGTGAGTAGCTGTAAATAGATGGCTCTTAGTATGGGGGAAAGAAGAGAGAAAAATGTCACTCACACAGGTGTGAGTTGTTAATCTTAGGCATGTGTAAAGCACAGTTGTGCAGAATTGGTAATAAAGCTAGAAAATATGTGTAATACAAATACTACAGAATAATAGAATCTGGAATAGGAAAATACTTCAGAAATACTGCAGTATATAGTGTACATATGGAAAGTCTGGGGACTGTAAATTAATCATGTCCCAATTTAGGCAACAGAGATACAGATTTCATTTTCCAAAAGCTTTTAAAGCTGGTGCAATCACAGATGGTTATGGTCTTTAAAGGGAAAATGTAAATTATTTACCAACAATACATAATTAGACAAGCCTGAAGTTAACACACAAGGAGGCAAAAATATCATTAAGCCATGGACTACACAAATGGCTCAAGAGAGATGCTTAAAGACAACAGACTACTTTGTATAAGATGAATAGGTTTGGATTAGTTCAGAATCTTGACAGAAGCATCCAAAGGCTGTGCTTCAGGTTGTGATGAGAAATTTGACCATTACTTCATCAAGAGGGACATGTTTACCCAATGGAAGCAATTTACCCAAGGAAACTATCTATGTTAATGTTGTACACATAGCACATTAGAGCCACATCTTGAGGAGAAATAGAAGATAATGGCTTCATTGATCCTTTTCGTGAAAACATACCACTTCAGCAGCAGGCAGACCCTTAAGCATGGACTGAATCTAGTATTTTAGGAACTAATATACTCAGTGTAGGTAAATAGCATTTTGTCTCAGGCTTCTTCTGGCAGAACTTCAACAGCTATGAAAACTATCTTTTCTTGATTCTATTTTTTGAAACCTTTTCTGCCCTTCATAGTATCTTTTTGATTTCTAAGTTTATGCAATAGTTTCAGTATGCAACAGTTTTGTTGTTGCATCTCTCAGACAAGATTGAGACAACATGAATTAAAAAGACTTTAAGAAAAAACTGCAAAGCTAGAATTTAGGAGAAGGAGGGGAAAATTTGCAAAAATATCAGATAAATGTTAAAGGGGAATTGCTAATTCAATAAAAGAGATTGAAACTGGTTCATCTCATTTTTACTGCGGAAGAATGCTTGTTGTCAACACACTGCTTTGGGATGCATCACTGTATCAACTTTTATATTGCTACCTTTTCTCTGCCCAACCTGATGTAATTAGTGGAATGATACAGTGTCAGCTGACAGTTGAAAGACCTGGATAAGACAATTATATTGGTATAAGATGTTAGTGTTATCTTAGGTGTTTAGACAATGTAGTGAAAACTACTAAACACGACTTTAAAACCTTGGTTCTGGAAGAAGGCTAAATTGGAAAGGGATAAGTGATTCCAAGAGGTTCTAGGAGTTAATGCATGAGCTGCTTACTATAGCCTGCTCTTCTTACTCTGTCACAGAGAGGCTGCTCTTCTACTGCTATAGCCCAAATGTTAAGGACACTCTCTCTAGCTGTCTCTAGTTTTGAGTGCTAGCTCCACTGACAAACACCAGTTCTGTAAAACATAGTTATCCCAGAGGTACCTTGGGCTCACTTTTTAGATAACCAAAGGGTATGTTTCTTAGGTATTGTAACTCAGTAGAATTAAAAGCTGAATAATGGTTTGAAGGCTCTGTAAAGAGCTCCTGGTGGTTTTGAAGATAAATTTCAAGCTTGTGTTGTATGTTGGAGTGTGCTGGGCAGTGTAATTTCAAACATGGTTACCAGCCTTTGTTGATGAATATAAACAGTGCTTTTCAGTTAGTTCAGAGCAGCTTGTATCAGCAAGCAATACTTACTAGTTTTCAGCGTAGAGCACAGAGCAGTTTCTGAGGAGCTTTCAGGCATGGAAGTGTGGGATTCACAGGGTGTACAAAGTCTGACAGGATTGTGTTTATTTTGTTTCCAAAGTGGCTGGTTACTGCAGTATCTTGCCATCAACACAGAATCCAGGAGATCTGCTGTGGGCAACGTTACAGAAGAGATCTCCTGAAGTTTGCAGAGAAAGTGCCCTGCATCAAAGTAAGTACTTGGTAGCTCTCGCTAGGAATTACATCCATGGAGTAAAAATACCACAGCAACAAATTATGGGATGCTACTTTTAAACAATGCAGGTACTGATGCTTTGTGTTCTTGTCTGAATTATATAAATATATGTAGACCCTTCAGCTTCTCTGTAACAGTCATGTGACTGCATATTTCCTGGAAATGTTAAGGTGGCTTGTCAATGGAATACTGAGAAAAGTCCTCTGTAAATGCCAAGAACAGTCTTCATTAAAGTTAAAAGCATTATATGGCTTTTGAATCTAAAGGTTATAGAATTGCTACTGAAAGCAAGAATCTAAATATGAACAGATAATTGAGTGAAGTAACATAATTTACAAGACAAACTTCTGAAAACTATCTGAGCAATATGTAGTTAAGTTATGGTGGGAATAATAACATGATGAGCATTGCCAAGTGTTCACTGCAAATTTATGCCAGATATTTTACATTTGTTGACTGCTAAATCCTTTATAATTTTTTCACTGTGAGGTTGGTGAGACACTGGACCAGGCTGAAAGTGAACTTGTGGCTGTCAGGGCTTTGAGCAAAGTGGTCTAGTGGAAGCTGTTCGTGCCCATGGCAGGGGAGTTGGAACTAAGTGATCTTTTTAAGGTCCCTTCCAACCCAAACCATTCTATGATGATTCTATGATAATACCTGTTTTGCAGAGTGTTTCCTAAGGGTGTCCTGCTCACTTCTGACATCCTGCCTTCCCACCCTTTCAGTCCTCACCTGAATGTGTCAGGATTAGCATGCTGTTATGTCATCCACAGGTCTTACCCATTTCTTACCCTTAAGAAGCTTAAAGAGTTGCCCTTGTAAATACAAATTCTCACAAACATGGAGTAGCTGCTGTGACTTGATCTAAGCCGCTTCACTGTATTTTGTAAATCTGTGGGCCATGTTTCCTGTTAAGTCTATGCAAAATTCAAAAAAGTT